AAACATCATAAAATACAATTCTCACGTCTGCCGGAAAGACAGCGTCCGACTTGTATTTTATTATACAATTCTCAGGTCTGTCGGAAAGACAGCGTCTGACAGACCTGTTCTTCACCTGAGGACGGCTGCTTGCGTTGTGGCCGAAACGTCGTGAGAATTGTATTTTATTATGTTTTATTTTTATTATTTTATTATTTCGCTTCTACGTGACTTTACCGAAAGAGCCAAGAAGGTGCATCTAGAGTTAGAAGGCATATATCACGTTCCATGGTGCACCGAGGAACCTTGCCCTGAAACACCCTCGCCGCGTTCCAGCAGAGAGTGAGCTGCGCTTAATCTCCCTCTGAACGGAACATGTTTTTTATACGCTTTTATTTAACTCACTCTATTGTTGTTGTATCCTCAAATCTTGTAACTCAATTTTAACGCACTTCCCAATGTGGTATCGACTGCAAACTTGGTATAGTTATGTCATACTGATGACAATACTATATTCTATCATAAAAAATAAAAATCAATATTTTAAAACATATTTTTTTATATGTTATGTTTCGGCTTGGGATCGAATTGTCCACGCTCAACTGACGTTGGCTGTAAATCAACACAATCCCTTACGTTATGGCAAGCTTCGGGGCCACTTTCTGGAGTCGTGGAGTTCTTCCATTACAAATATTACTTATTTTTAATACCGTCAAGTACGGGCGCCGCGGTGGCTAGACGTTAACTACCTCGCCTGGTATACAGGAGGTCGTGGGTTCGATCCCGATCCCGACCCTGACGCCTGTAGGTTTGTAGTTTGCGTGTTCTCCCCGTGGTCACGTGGATTTTTCTACGGGTCCTCCAGTTTTTCTCCTCCACATTTAGAAACAACGTGCTTTTAGAGTATTTGGCTGCTATGCATTTCCACACGATGATGAGCCACTTTGTTGAGCAGCCACTTGTGATAGCCAGGTCGCTTCTTAAACAAGCTATATAGCTCAGTGAGCCTAATGATATGTTCAAGCAAACGTAACACTGAGACTGCATGGGACCCAGTTTTCTACTGGCACATCCGAGCTGAACCCACTTAGGGATGATAATTGTTTTTTTACTCTTTTATCTGGCAACAAAACTGACACCTTTTTTACAAAGAGTCATGTTTGCATAGACCACAATACCTGTAGTCATAATGCAAACAAATAACTCTGATAATGTATGCACTGTCCTTGAAGTTGATTGGTCCACACCCGAGACAGCTTTCCTTAGAGCCTAGTCTCACATGGTGTTGGACCAAATGACGCCAAAAGGTGTCAGTTTTGTTGCCAGATAAAAGGGTAAAAAAACAATTATCATAATTTTTTCTTCTGGCAAATGAGGTTCCAATGGTGTAAACCACTTAGGGCTGTCACGGTTCCCAGTAGTTTTCCACCGGTTGGTTTCTGAGCCGAGCGAGCCATGACCAAAGGGTGATATGTCGGCATGACAGAACACCATGTGCCACACACGCACGTTTACAGGTGGAGCTGGATGCGAGTCTGTTCCGGATCTCGGCTGCACGCAACGAATAACATCGCGGGCTATAACTGGAACAGCCACGCTCGGGCCAGCCCAGGCAGCCCGGCCTTACTGACAGGTCAGAAACAGGGGTCGGAAACTTGAGGCTCCGAAGCCACATGCGGATTTTTAAGGACGTAATTTATTAAGGACCATCTCATATTCACGTGTATTGTGGCTTTTGAAATATCGAGAGTTTGTTTTACCGAATTCGAAAATAAATACTCTCCGTGTTATTTTTATATTCTATTGTTCTTTCTGTAAAGTCATGTAGATAGAAAAAATAACAATAAAATAATAAAAAATAAAGTGAATAAAAAGTGTTATTTTTGTTGCCAACCCCTGGGCTAGTCCAATGCAACCTGGTTTTTACCCAGAAGGGGCATCGTCCATGATGTCAGAGCTTCGTCTCGAGAAGATTGCCAACCGTTGCAGGAATTCAAACAGGGACCCACAAATCAAACACACCTCAAAGGACACCTCGCAAATAGCTGCCGACCTTCTTTTTGGAAGCAAAACACAAGGTTATGACGACATCAGACGTGACATCGCGTCCAGGTGAATTAATCGCTCGTGATTTGGTTCATTGGTAACGTGGAAGAAGAAGTCTCAGTAGGGTGCGTTTGCATCCAGCACAGATCTATCTCGAGGCCAAGGAGGGCAAAGGCTAGGGGCTAATGACGCGTTCAGTGTGTCTGACAGTGCGGTCAGTACAATTTGAGGACACAGCGCCAGCAACGTGATGCACGCGCGTTTCAACATTACACATCGCGGCGTGTGACGTCTGCAACGCAGCACGGCACGGCTTCTGCAGTGGGAAAACAACAAGCTGCGCCTCCTGACCTCGACTGGCACGACCCCCCGGACACGGCTCGGATGTGCCAGTGGAAAAGGTGTAGGGGAGTCTTTTTTTGGGCAAAGACTTGGAGGGCTCTTTTTCAGAAGCAAAGCGATCAATGGCAATGCCCGATGTATGTACTGCGTGTTGAACTTCTTTCGCACTGTACGTAGCCAACCGCGCTATTCGGAGGTGCAGGGTGAGGACAACAAACCAAACACAAAAATCCGTTCCAAAGAAATGAGTTTAAAATCTAGACTTAAAAGTGCATAGCTCCAGTGGCTTTCTAATATAGGAAGGAAGAGCGTTCCAGACGACCGCAGAAGTGCATCTGAGCGCGCGCGATGCGGTGACCTGCCGTCTTTGTGTGACGGCCAGCAGCCAAAAGCCGCTTCTGCTGCTGCTGCGAAGTTTGCGTGATGGTTCATGTTGCTTGACGAGATCAGTCAGGTATTGTGGTTCATTTGTGGCAAGCACTTTGTGTGTAATGTGTGCGACCTTATAAGTGTATGGGTGTGAAAGGAACTACACAGTATAAGCTGCTATGAACAGGGCACATTTACATGCCCATTGAAAATCAACGAAATCCAAGAACGTTATTGACCGGTATTTCAATTGAGCACAGCACAAAAATAGCCTCGCTGACTGGTTTGACCAGATTTCTAGTAACAGCGAGATATCTGACCACCATACAAAGGGGATTCAACCTGTGGAGGAAAACACGAGTAGAATGGATTCTCAAGTATTGAAACATAGGCGTGGTGAACAATGTGGTACCGTGTTATGGAGGGTTATCATTAATGTATTACTCACGTGGAGTGATTGATGGTCGCTTTATCACCCTCTGCTGGTTTCAAAAGTGTTGAGTCAAGGAAAGGAGAGACGGGGAAGACCTTGGTGCTGTGTGTGGGGGGGAGCGGTGGCGCAGTGGTTAGCGCACTGCGCTGCGAAACCGAGCGACCCGAGTTCGATGCCTGCTCACGACCAATGTAACAGCAGTAGCGCATGTCTGAACCGGTCATGGGCCTCTCCCCTCGGTCGACTCAGCCTTAAATTAGGACACATGGCCTTCATCAGCGCTTGTTAAAAGCACTTCCACCCATCGTCTGTTGAGGCTCTTTGGGGGATCTTTGTCATTTTGAAAAATGTTCGCGCCGTACGTAGCCAACCGTGCGAATATTTCTCTCATCGCAGGGGGAGTTCCAGTCAATGTCTTCCACCACAGGCACATCAGAATCTTTACAGCGTGGTCCAGAATTGCTGTGACCCCCCCCCCCCCCAATTTAATAATCTAAAACTTAACTTTTTTGTATACCAGTGGGGGTGTGAAAACGAAAACGAATAAGCAACGGGCACAAGAAAGTGTGGGGTCAATTGATTTGGGGACTACACTGTAGGAGGCCGTCCATAAATGACGTCACGCGATTTTGGATGATTTTTGACCCCCCCCCCTTCGTCCCACGGCGTTACAAGTCAGACCCCCCCCCCCTCAAATATGACGTCACAAAGCTCTGCCCCCCTCAAAAAAATATAAAACATGCTTCAAATCGCTTTAAACTATTGTCATTGTCGTGCCTATTTAATGTGGCGCTGCACTCTGATGTTGTAGGTTAAAACATTTATTTAATTAAGTCTATATTTAATTAAAAGTTGTACATTTTTACGTGACGTCACATTTCTCACCTCCCCCCCCTCGTCACAATCGTCACAAATGTCTGACCCTCCCCCCCCCCCAGGTGCATGACGTCATTTATGGACGTCCCCTAGAAGCGCGTGTGTAGCAAACAAGTAGCGCCATAATAGCCACAAAGATAAAGATCCCCCTTATAGCCTTAACAGACTGTTGGGGCAAGTGCTGTTAGCGAGCATGTATGAAGTCCGACACAACACACGAGGGGGTAGGGTGGGCAGCGCCACGCCCGACCGCCTTTGTCTCCCTCGTGGTGATGTTTACACATTTGAGAAAGCCTGAGTAGACCTAAGGGGATGGCCAGAACCGGTTCAAACATATATTCACCACCGTTATTGGTCGTGAGCGGGAATCGAACTCGGGTGGTCACACGTGCCTCCAATTAGCACGCTTGGTTCACGTACGGTACGAAAGAAGTTCAACATACAGCACAGTGCATTCATTTGTTCCGACTTACGAACCGTTGGCCTTACAAACGGTTCGACTTACGGACGGTTCGACTTACGAACGGTTCGACTTACGGACGGTCCGACTTACGAACTGTTCGGACTTACGAACGGTTCGACTTACGAACGGTTCGACTTACAAACCGTCCGACTTACGAACAGTTCGACTTACGAACGGTTCGACTTACGAACGGTTCGACTAACGAACGGTTCGACTTACGAACGGTTCTACTTACGAACCGTCCGACTTACGAACGGTTCGACTTACGAACCGTCCGACTAATTAGGTTCGTAACCCGAGGACTGCCCCGACATACATTCTCTGGTTACGGCAACTGCACACGAGTCACATTGAGTCCACAACCGGACAATCATTGAATGTCATGCAGCGTCGTTCAATGCGATTGCTTCCCGCAACGCCGGCAACGCTCCACTCGGGGCCGCTACGCGCACAGCTGAACGGGACAGGAGCGAACGCGGAAATAGAATTGGGGGTCAAGCCGCGACAACGCCTACAACGCTCGCGAATGCTGCGAGCGAGCGAGCCAAAACACTCCGCGGATTACTGTCCTCCAAGTGGGACACGGCACCACTCGTCCCTCCCAAGTGCTGCTGCTGCTTGACACGGTCTCAGTGAGACACTCGTTTAAGGCCGAGTAGACCTAGGAGAGGTAGCTAGCTTTACGTATCTATGGGTTAAAGGTTTAGGAGCCGGGGATTAACAAGAAATCCCCCCCGCCCCCCGTATAGCCTGCACAGGCTGTTGGGGCAAGTGCTGTTAGCGAGCAGCTATTAAGGCCGGGTCAACACCACGCCTGGCCGCCTTTGTCTCCCCAGCTCTGATGTTTACTTACACCCAGCGGCATGTGCACTCAATCCAGGGCTGAGTCGACCTAGGAGGAGGGACGTGATGCGTATCGCTCGCCGCTGGCGTTAACTGTGGCTGGGAATCGAACTCGGCTTTTGGGGGGGGGGGGGGATTGTGTAACGTAGCGCTCTAAGGACCGCGCCACCGCTCTCCATACAACACAGAAGAACACGCGACACACAAACACCTGGGCGACACACACACCTGGGCAACACGCGCGCGCGCCCTTGCGGGGGTGATCACTGCGTGGTTGGTGGTGGTGGCGTTGGTGTCATCGTCGAGTTACAAGAAGCAGCCACAATCGCGGGTTCCTCCTCTTCGCTGCCTGCGTTCGCCTTCCTCGACACAGCGAGCTCGGCAACACGGAGGGAGGGACAACCTCGCTCTGTACAGCGAGATCACCTGGACTGCGTGTGTCCACACACACACACCACAGGTGAGACTGTCTTACACACACAGGTGAGACTGTCTTACAGGGCATGCTCACACACAGGTGAGACTGTCTTACAGGGCAAGCTCACACACAGGTGAGACTGTCTTACACACACACACAGGTGAGACTGTCTTACAGGGCAAGCTCACACACAGGTGAGCTTACCTGTGTGTGTCCACACACACAGGTGAGACTGTCTTACACACACTCACAGGTGAGACTGTCTTACAGGGCAAGCTCACACACAGGTGAGCTTACCTGTGTGTGTCCACACACACAGGTGAGACTGTCTTACACACACTCACAGGTGAGACTGTCTTACAGGGCAAGCTCACACACAAGTGAGCTTACCTGTGTGTGTCCACACACACAGGTGAGACTGTCTTACACACACTCACAGGTGAGACTGTCTTAGAGGGCAAGCTCACACACAGGTGAGCTTACCTGTGTGTGTGTGTGTGTGCGTCCACACACACAGGTAAGACTGTCTTACACACACACACAGGTGAGACTGTCTTACAGGGCAAGCTCACACACAGGTGAGCTTACCTGTGTGTGTGTGTCCACACACACAGGTAAGACTGTCTTACACACACTCACAGGTGAGACTGTCTTACAGGGCAAGCTCACACACAGGTGAGCTTACCTGTGTGTGTGTGTGTGCGTCCACACACACAGGTAAGACTGTCTTACACACACTCACAGGTGAGACTGTCTTACAGGGCAAGCTCACACACAGGTGAGCTTACCTGGCTGTGTGCAGTGTGCATCGCAGTGGTGTGCCGTTGTCGTTCGCGCGATTGTTACAGTAGTGGTACTTTAACCCTGTATTATGGTTGTTTGTGACTTTAGTTAAAACAAAAAAAAATATTTTATTTTATTTTTATCAAGTAAGGCCCACTGAGCACTGTAGCTCTTTTTCAGAAGCGACCTGGCCACAAATAATATCTCAACGAAGTGGATTATCACGTGGAAATTTAGAGCAACCGAACACTTTAAACGCACCTTCATACATGTGGAGGGGAAAACCGGGAGGACCCGGAGAAAAATCCACACGGAGAAGATGCAAACTCAAAATATTGTGAGGGTTAGGTTCGCGATCGAGCCCAAGACCTCCTGCATACCAGGCGAGGTAGTTAACATCTTGCCACCGTAGTTGATCTTAACACACTCATAACATCTGCGTCGATATTGGGAGAGGCTTTTAATAATAATAATGATGATAAAAGGCGATTTGTGTGAGGCAGGGAACAATGTGTTCCTAATACTCCAGATATGACAACAGCACAGGATTTTAGATGCTGTGTAGAGTCGCAGAAGTTAATTACGGTACTGATGAAAGTGTTACTCATTCTGATGTGATGATGGGTTCAGCTGAATTCTGATCGGGATTTGATGTTAACTACCTCGCCTGGTATGCAGGAGGTCGTATGTTCAATCCCGACTCCTGACGCCTGCTGTATATTTGCGTGTCTCTCTCCCCGTGGTCGCGTGGATTTTTCTCCGGGTCCTCCGGTGTTTCCCTCCACATTTAGAAACACGCGTTTAGAGTATTTGGCTGCTATACATACCCACATGATAAGCCACTTTTTTGAGCTGTCATTTATGGGCAGGTCGCTTCTGAAAAATATCTCTTATATAGCTCAGTGGGTCTTATCTGGTAAAATAAAAATAGTTGTCTGAATGTTAAAGCTACCGCAGTGTGAACCCAGTTGTGAGTCAGGGTGTTTATTTTCACTGCGCTCTGCCGATGATCTCTGATAATGGTGAAACCCATGGGCAGTTGATGTCTCCGTGGCGGCTGTGAAAGTTGACACCACGGTAAGGTCATGTTCATACGTGGTAGCACAGCTGACGAGGTCGGCGACAGACCGAACTTAATATGAATCATCCAACAACACAATCGTCAATAACACAGAGTGTGGCCTTAAGTGGAAAAATATATAGATATATAATAGGCGACTTTTCGGGCACCGGATCCTTCAGAGCACGTACAGTGGCCAAGCTCTGCGGTACTCTACGCATTAAGAGGGCTTTTATTTACGTAACATAAACACACAATGTCATTAAAATTAAAGACGCGGTAAGTGGCGTCCCCTCGTTGCATATTAACTTTCGTGTTTGGGTTTAGATCGCGTTATTTATAAATGTGTCATAACCCTCCACCACCCGACACGGCCAATCAGTAAAAAAGTGTCACGTTGACAAAAGACAAATAGTTCACTGCTTTAGCCCACCGGTGTGTTGAAGCCACAACATTTACAATTTGAGTACGACGTTTCGCTGGTAATTGCATCCAGCATCATCGGGCAATTCGCCAGAATGGCCTCGTCACACACAGCGGCTTTCACCTGACCCCCTCGCATGCCAGCCGGCTGATGGCTTTACTGTGGATGTTGCGATGTTAAGAAGAGCCAAATTCAGCAAAGTGTATTTTTTTCCATTTAGGGCCACATTGTCATTGACAAATGTGTCGAGGTTATTTTTGTTTTCACTTCTGTACCGCTGTGGCGCTTCGCCTGCTTCGAAGACTCCATTCCCTCTCATCGGCTCACGCAGAGACCCATAGACTCACACAGAGATCCGTAGACTCACGCAGAGACCCGTAGACTCACGCAGAGACCCGTAGACTCACGCAGAGACCCATAGACATATACAGAGACCCATAGACTAGAACAGAGATCCATAGACTCACGCAGAGACCCGTAGACTCACGCAGAGACCCATAGACACATACAGAGACCCGTAGACTCACAGCGAGATACGTAGACTCACACAGAGCACCGCAGACTCACAGAAACACATAGACTAGAACAGAGACCCATAGACTCACACAGAGACCCATAGACTCGTGCAGCGACACATAGACTAGCACAGAGACTCATAGACTCACAAAGAGACACATAGACTCATACAGAGACCCATAGACTCGTGCAGCGACACATAGACTAGCACAGAGACTCATAGACTCACAAAGAGACACATAGACTCATACAGAGACCCATAAACTCGCGCAGAGACCCATAGACTCGTGCAGAGTGTCACAGACTATCACAGAGAATCGTAGCCTCACACACGAATCCATAGACTAACTTAAGAGACCCATAGACTCACACAAAGACCCATACATCTGCCCTGACAACATTCCACTATCTGACCTTAACTCGTTCCCTTGGTTGCGGGCACGTCTCAGTAACGAAATCATCGAGCAGTGGATAGATAATGGTCGATCGGGACGACGATGAATCACGCTGGGTTCTGTACCACCCCGTGCATACTGTGTGGTGTTATCCATGGTTGCCTGTGGCTGATCCACTTCGCCAAAACAAAATGCGGCTGTCACTCCTCTCCGTGCGGGCTACTGGATGCCGCGCGCGACTGTGACTACGAGAGACAAATCTCCGTGTTCACCGCCTCTCTGTGTTGTGCAGCGGTTGCAGGAATGCCCCGTAACCCGCGTGTCCTGCTCGTGCAGAGGTCACCATGGCAGTGCCGCAACCGTTGCGAGCGCACTTTGTTGACGTTGCTTCTTGCCGGATACCTTCCCAGTAAACACGCGCAACGTTGGCCCAACGTTGGCACTGTAAACCGCGTCTAGTGGCAGTGCGACTGTTGCAAGCTTTCTGCCGGATACCTTCCCAGTCAACACGCCCAAAGTTGGCCCAGTGGTTTCATATTCTTAGGTTTTTTTCGGTAAAGTCACATTATTACCATAATAATGAAAAGTGAGCCGTTCCTGGCCCTTCCCCCTCCCTCTACCATTATATATACGGAGTGGTATCTCTTGTAATCTCTCATTTACTTGATACAGCTGTCGGGCTGTGACGGTTCCACCTGAAGACGGAAGCTTGTGTTGCCTTCGAAACGTCATGATTTTTATTTTACTTTTATTAACTTTAATTAAACATTTTTACCTACGTGACTTTACCGAAAAAACCTAAGAATATGAATCCTTGCAGTCACGAAATCTTCAAATCTAGAACCAGTGGTTTCATGTTTACTGGGATAAATTGCAGCACAGTCGACACCCAACCCACAACCTCCGCTCTAAAAGTTTCACCACGACCGCCGCCGCCGTTGTCCGGATTTACGTCTTCCCCTTATTACAGGCCTAATTGCTGCCGTGTGGGTGGCCAGATTGTTATTTTATAGCTGCTGCGTTGGTGTCAGTTGACAACGCTCCAAACAGAAATCTGTCAATACGGCGTTGAAAAGCAGAATCTTTATTTAGACTCCAGGAGAAATGCGATGAGCTCAGAAGCATTTTTTCACAGACGTCCAGTATGGGCAGGTCGGCATCATAATCGCGCCCTGCTACTGCTGCCACACTCACCTCCTCCTCACAGCCCCCCTGCATTTTGCACATCACTGTCAAAGACAAAGATCCCCCGTGTAGCCTTAACAGACTGTTGGGGCAAGTGCTGTTAGCGAGTAGCACCTATGAAGGCCGGCACGGCACACGAGGGGGTGGGTGGCCTGCACCTCGACCTTTGTCTCCCGTTTACCAATGTTTTACACCCCGCACCAGGTACTCATTTGAGACCGAGTCGACCTAGGGGAGGCCCAGGACCGGCTCAGATAATCGTCACTGATGCTGGCCGTGAACGGGAATCGAACTCTGGTCGGCGGTTTCGTAGCGCAAGCGCGCTAACCGCTTGCACAACCGATCCCCACGTCACTGTACGAACACACACACACAAAGTCCTCTGACCCAGTGACCCCTGGTTCTTGCCCGATGTTTTGGGTGATTATTTTGAGCACGCGCAGCACGAGAGGACAGGGGACTTGGGGACAAAGTGACGAGCGCAGGGGAAGTAAACAACGCGCCCGACGTGAGAACGCGACAAATAACGATATTCATCCGGATTGAAAACGGCTCAAATTTTTCCTAAAAATGATGGCTGTTTTTATTTTGATGTCAAGGGGTACGCCTTGAGCACGGGTGAATTGACGGCTGTGCAGGAAAGAGACTCAAGATGCTGCTATTCCATCACACGTGGATCTCCAGGCGTGGCCTCCAATGCAGCCGATGCGACTTCGTGTTTTGCCGTGAACAGCGAACCGAGCACCATGCAGAACAGTTTGTGACCAAACAGCCACCCGCTCCTTGAACCCAACGTTCTCATCTCAAACCACTCCAGTGCCCTCTGCCTCTGGTCACGCACAGGCCCGAGTCCTGTCCATCACCGCTAGTTGCCAAGCAGGCCACAGCTCACTTCGACCCAGGACGTTTCGATGCGCTGGTGCGATTTGACCCTTTCTCGTCGGTCCTTCCTCTTCGCGTGGCTGCTGATGTTGATGCAGAGGAAGAACAAGTCTCAGTGCAAAGATGAACTGTCATGAATGCTTGTTTTTTTATCAATTAAAACGGACGGTGGTGGCATGGAATGGTAAGGGGTGGCATTCATGGAAAAAGCCTGCGCTGTACACGAAACCAATGTCATTGTTCCATCTCCCCACAGCGACCGTTCTCTCAGACGCGTTTGATTCATTGGGTGCTGCTCCGTTATTATCCTTGACCGCAATGTGCTCCTTGGAGCGACGTGTCCTGCCCATTGTTATGGGGTAGCATGGTCACTCTGAGGTCGCTCAACGTCACGGGGCACCGCGGTGGCGAGATGGTAACTCCCATGGCTGGTATTTCAGGAGGCTGTGGGTTCGATCCCAACCCTGACGCCTGCTCTGGATTTGGAGTTTGCATGTTCTGCCCGTGGTCACGTGGATTTTTCTCCGGGTCCTGAAGCTTTTTCCATCGACATTTATAATTAGCTCGCGTTTAGAGCATTTGGCTGCTATAAATGTCCACACGGTAAGACACTTCGTTGAGATATCATTTGTGGCCAGTTGACACAAGAAAAAGAGCTTTACCTGGTAAAATAACAATTGTTTAGCTTTAGTCACCAGCCATGATCTATCCACTGCTCGATGAAGGCCTGCTGATGCTGACACCATCCCTAATTTGCGTGAAGCAGTGTGGGTTCAGATATCAACTCGCCACTGATGTTTGCTGTGGAGGGGACCAAACTCAACAAGCACACACTAACGGGCCAGTGCCTGATTAAGCTAATGCGGGGCCTGTAGCATATGTGTTATAAAGGGGCTCTAAATAAAAAAAACAAACACGTAAATATTAAAACACACACATTTTTTACTTGCATAGCAAAGTAATTGTGTTTTTTCATTTGCTATACAGCCAGATAATACGACAAATCGCTAACCTTAAACGCCCAGTCGTTCGTAAAAGTTGAAGGCAGTGTAGTACTATAGTAATAGAGCAAGTGCAGAATCACCGAACCGGAATTGATAGCTTGAAAGCATTTAGCGCGGGGCCCTTGAAAATGCGGGGCCCGTAGCATATGTAGCTAAATTTCGATTTAAAGCTTTCGTGACTGCAGGGATTCATCTTCTTGGTTCTTTCGGTAAAGTCACGTAGAAGGAAAGTAATAAAATAGTAATAAAAAATAAAGCATAATAAAATAAGCTAATAAATTATTTTATTATGTTTTGTTTTATTATTTAATAATTTCCCTTCTACGTGACTTTACCGAAAGAACCAAGAAGATATGTAGCTACTTGTGCTCCTGGGATAATCCGGCACTGCAACAGGCCCCGCAGTGCAGAACCGGGGACCCCCATACATGGGGGGAGGGGGTTTACAGAGGCAGACTTTGCAGCGGTGAGCCTTGCTGACGAAACCTTGCTGATGACTTCCGATCAGAGAGGAAACCTGCCCCACAGCTGTCTAATCTGCACAGTCCTCTTCCCTGAGGTTACCGTCAAAAATTAAGGAACATGCGGCCGTCTGGAACGCTCTTCCTTTCCGATATTGGGAAGCCACTGCAGCTATGCACTTTCAAATCTAGATTTCAAACTAATTTCTTTAGAACTGCTTTTTGTGTTTAGTTTGTTGCCCTTCCCCCGCACCTCCGATTAACGTGGTTGGCTACGTACGGCGCGAAAGAAGTCCGCCATGCATACAATTCGCTTCTTTGTCCACTTACACGTTGTCGTGTGTGTGTGCTCTTTGGAGTTTTTGGCACTTTTTGTGGACGCCATGCCCAGTTTTTTTCCAGATGAATGTCGGGCCCGTTCAGTTCCCCTTTTCCTTGCGACCGTGACAGACTATTTACGTATAAATGAGGAACTCACTGTCACCCACCAACACTCACACGCACACACACTCACACACGCACACACACTCACACACGCACACACACTCACACACACGCACACACACTCACACACGCACACACACTCACACACACGCACACACACTCACACACGCGCACACACTCACACACACGCACACACACTCACACACGCACACACACTCACACACGCACACACACTCACACACGCACACACACTCACACACACGCACACACACTCACACACGCACACACACTCACACACACGCACACACACTCACACACGCACACACACTCACACACGCACACACACTCACACACGCACACACACTCACACACGCACACACACTCACACACACGCACACACACTCACACACGCACACACACTCACACACACGCACACACACTCACACACGCACACACACTCACACACGCACACACACTCACACACGCACACACACTCACACACGCACACACACTCACACACACGCACACACACTCACACACGCACACACACTCACACACGCACACACACTCACACACGCACGCACACTCACACACACGCACACACACTCACACACGCACACACACTCACACACGCACACACACTCACACACGCACACACACTCACACACACGCACACACACTCACACACGCACACACACTCACACACGCACACACACTCACACACACGCACACACACTCACACACGCACACACACTCACACACGCACACACACTCACACACACGCACACACACTCACACACGCACACACACTCACACACGCACGCACGCCCTGTCAGTAAACTTTACGCACGGGTGTTTTGGAAGGCAAGGGGACGATTCTGACCGATGTTGAAGCAAGATATGTTCTCAAACGCGGCGGGCGAATGGTCCTAATGACATGTGTGGGGAGGGCGTATATAGCCCAATGAGGGAAGGCGCTCCGTTAATAGAAATTATATTAACAGACTGTTGGGGCAAGTGCTGTTAGCGAGCACCTATGAAGGCTGGCACGGAATACGAGGGGGTGGGTGGCCAACACCACGCCCGGCTGCCTTTGTCTCCCCAGCGCTGATTATTACACACCGCACCAGGTACTCATTTGAGGCTGAGTCGACCTAGGGGTGGCCCAGGTCCGGTTCAGATAATCGTCACCTGGGTCGCCAGATTCGGAGCGCAGCGTAGCGCTGACCGCTCCACAACCGCTCCCCACAATGGTTTACACTCACACACACGCACACAGTCTATGTCGATATTTTAACTGAGTTCACCACGAGTTGTACGTTTCTGGAACCAGCTGAGAACTCGAGAGGGCCACGTTTTAAGTCTCGTTCAGCAAGATTTGCCAGGCACGTGTCGTGGAGGGAGGTGATACGCAAACACTCGAATGAATGCATACTCGAGTACTGGTGTCACTGTGTTAGGGTTGAGCGAATTCCTGACAGGTTGAGTCACGCGTCGCCATCCAATGACGTTGCGGTATTCACAAACGCGATGTGTATGTTCCTAGGTGTTTTCGGTAAAGTCACGTAGGTAAAACATTAAAATTAATAAAAGTAAAATAAAAATCACGACGTTTCGGAGGCAACACAAGTCTCCGTCATCAGGTGGGACCGTCACAGCCAGATGTGTAAGCTGCGTGTGCCAAACATCCAGACTCCTTTTACCCAAGCTCTCTCATCATAATAATACTCGTAATAACCCTGCTCAATTCAAGAAACCTCTTCACCCTTATCTCTTACAACCACGAGAGTGCTGGTTGTTGCTGGCAGCTTGACGTTTTCAGGCCTGTGCTCAGCACCTCGTGTTGTATACGTGCACTTTATATTTCAAGAGATTTCTTTCGCAATGGGCGGAGGAGGGAGAAGGGGGAATTTTTTAGAACTTTTTTTTCCGACCAAACGACGCTTTGGAAATCCACGATTCGGACTGCGGCTTTCGTTCACTTCCTGCAGGTGGCGGGCGGTTGACCGTGACGGCAGTGGCGTTGGTGGTGGTGGTTGTGGTGGTGGCCGTCGCGATCCAAGCTGTTTCTCCACACCTCTTTGGTGAGGCCATCGCGCAATCTCAACGGGACCCCCCCCCCCCCGCCACCACCACTGTGGCCTCCGCTCCTTCAACGCGGGAGGAGCAGCACAGCTACGCCAACTCTCTCTCTTTTTTACGATCAGTGGAAACAAGAAGATGCTCGGTTTAGTCGGCACTTTGCTTCGTTCATAATTTCGTTAAAAAAATTTTTACATTTTTTTACTTTGCTTTATGTTAACCCCCACCTCTCGCTCACTCTCTCGCTCAGTCTATCGCTCACTCTCTCGGTCACTCTCTCGTTCTGCACTCTCGTCGTGGGCAAGCAGCAGCAGCAGCAGACCTCGATACCGTGTGGCACTTTACTTCCTGGTCGTCTTACTGCTGCCATCATCATCATCATAATGCCCAAGAGCAGAGTGGTGTCCTGGTCAATTGAGAATTGAGGCATTGGTGCTCGTCTGCCGGAACCCCCGTCGCCCTGCACCTCCGTGTCAGCTGCTTTAGAGAGTATGGCTTATTTGTGGAATAGGTCGCCGTTCTGACAGACACACAACACCGCAATGAACATCCGTCACCATCCCAGCCCTGGGTCAAAAAATGTCAGTTCGTTCAACACCGTGGCAGGAGCGTTTCAGAGACGATTTATCCACCCAGATAAGTGGACAAATGCCTTCCATTGTTAATTGGGGTGCACATTGGGTCACGTGCTTTGGCTGAACAAAAGAAAACCCACTCCTGAGATTTTACCGATGATTTCTCGCCGAAACGAACGCCCGAGCCCGTTCACGCGTAGCTGCCCAAGCGAGACGGTTCCACTTCAGCGGAGTGATCTCACTTCACCGTCACCCCGACGGCACCCAGCCACGGCCGTAGCTTAAACAGGCACAGAACCCGTCGCACGGGGAGAGGAGGAGGAGGGGTGGACAGTCGTGCTTACAACTCAGTCCACAACCTGACCCGCCACAGGGCTGCACACAACGCTGGCATTTTAGAGGACGTCTTTCCCCCCCCCCCCGTCCCACGTCCCACGATTCGATCATCCGTCATGATTTTGGCGTCGTGTTTTTCAAGGATCAAGCATTTTTCCGGGGGGTCATTAGCAACGTCTCGTTTCTGCGTCTCATTTGTACTGTCTGCCTCGTGTTTATGGTCTGGCAGCTTTAGTATTATCGATCGCATGTTCAGTCTCGTATTTTCAACCTTGTTTGTATTGTCCGTCTCGTTTGTTGGTATTATGCCGCTTGATTACCCAGAAAGGCGTCACCGAGCCTAAATAATCTTTTAGCCAAGTTTTTTCCGCCAAATTTGTCGGAGCAGGCGGGCAATGTCGCTGCTGTGTGCAATCCAAATTGAATACAATTTCAAGTTAAAATTCTCAGCAGTGGGACGTCTGGCCATTACCAGTTACAGTTGTTTGTTTCTTCGAGCTATTAGGAGCAAAGCAGAGAACTCGGAGGGAACCCATGCAGAGTAGGGAGAGAACCGAAAGACACGAGAGTCGGCAATGAAACCCAGGCACCTTGTCGCTGTGAACCACGAGTGTTACCACTACCACCACCCTCGTGCCTTGCTTATGTTCTTATTTTTACCGCCTTCTTCGTGTGTTTCGCCCAATTCTCGTGCGCCGTAAATTTAACTCCCGCCGATGGTTGCTGATCGTTAAACCGCCAGGCCTGCCTCTCTTGACGTCGCCACTGTCGCAGCGCAGGAGACGGCTGTAGGATTTTGACGCATTCCACGAGTCCCTGGATATCGAGATGCTCTGTGACGCCATCGATCCGTGTGAGAGTATTGACGACGCCGGGGCTTGCAGCCAGACCAAAGTCTTTGAAAACTCACTTCTTTAGAACTGATTTTTGTGTTAAGTTTGTTGTCCTTCCCACGCACCTCCGATTATCACGGCTTGCTACGTACTGGTGCGAAAGAAGTTAAACATACATAAATACGTACACACAACACAACAGCTGGACACTCAAATGAGCTGCGCTCAAATTTCGATGTAAAGCTTTCGTGACTGCAGGGATTCATCTTCTTGGTTCTTTCGGTAAAGTCACGTGACTTTACCGAAAGAACCAAGAAGATGAGCTGCGCTCACTTTGTGTTCATAAATTTGTTCTCCTTTATCATCGTTTTTTTCCTCCCATCTTCCCCCTACCTCCTCGTCGCCGTCATCTTCACCGCCGTCAAGGGCTGTGCCGCAGCCCTGGAGAGATGCAACACGCTCGCCCGTTTGTTGTAGAGGCTCGCGGTTCAAATCCAGCAAACCGCCCTGGTTATTGTTGCGGTGTGCAATCACCACAATGATACCGCTTTGGGGTGGACGTTAAAGATCCCCTGATGCTATTCGCAAGAGTAGGCCATCGTGTGCCAGCGTCAGGGTCCAAACGTGCCAAATGCGACAAAAACCTATTCGGCTAATTACTCAATTGAGATTATACACAGCAGCAGCAGCAGCAATCATCGTTCCCTCTACTGGCAGGTTCATGCCGCAGGTCACTCTTGGAAGTGAGACTCATCCTGGTCTCGTGAGTTCTGACACGGGTTCAGACGAAATCGACGTAACCCAACTTCGCCCGCCGGGTGTCACGACTGTCCAGGGCACCATGCTGTGCGAGGAGTTCATCCGAGCCAAGGCAGCAGCGATGGCCCCCTCTCGGCAGTTCAAGCTCGGGAAGAAGCCTCGAGGAAGAGGGGGAGGAGGTGACGACAAGGCCACGCTTGGAGGCGTCACGAGGCGAGACCGCAGCCTCAGCTGGGAGGACCTGACGCCGCTGTTTCCTCCGCCGTCGCCGTCATCGCCGCCGCCGCCGCAGCAGCAGCAGCGGCGGCGCGAACCGGGACGCGGCACGGGCATGAACATCTGGCGGCGGCCGCTGGGGTCGCGCAGCAGTACGCCGGCGAGCAGGCCCGGCGTCGCGTGGCATCGCGCGCCACAGCCGACCGCGGGCGACGAGTCCACGACCGGAATGGCGAAGGTAAACAACGACGACAACAACAAAAACATGCAATAAAAACGTGTTATCGATCAAGCTGTGTGAAAAATAAGAATAGGTGCTACCCTTTCTGGCAATAAAGCAGGTGTTAAGGTGTTATAAAAACACCAAACAGATACCTTTTGCATCTTAAAACCTGTTTTATTGCCAGAAAGGGTAAAACCTATTCTTATTTTTCATACTTTGTACCGGGTTATAACACTATGCGTAAAGTAAGTCACCCCCCCTAACTTGTATCCGGTGACAATAAAGCTTTACAAATCTGCTCGCACACAGCTACCGTAATCTAAGACGCAGCCCCTCAACTTTTTCTTTCGGCTACGGGCAAATCATCCAACGAATGTGGTAGTCGTGAGTGTGATTGCTAATTTACAATTGTAGGTTACTCAACCTCCCAACATGAGAGTCTGCGTAAACCAAAGACTACTTTGGTAGAGTATAGGGCCCAGAGTAATGTATGTACATATGTATGTATGTTAAACTTCTTTCGCACCGTACGTAGGCAACCGTGCTAATCGGAGGTGCGTTTGTGTTGCCGTCGCAGTCAGGGGGGGTGCCAGTCCACCAAATGGGAATACCAAAAAAAGCCACATTTTTGACACTGAATATGGGTTCACGTGGGAGACGTGACGGCAGAGTGATGCCTGCACAGCGCGACTCACGACTTCCTCTTGATACCAAGATCCAGATGGTCACGTCTATGCGCCGCTTCTCGGTGGCAGCCCCAACAGTCTGGAACGATATCCCTCTGCACATTCGCAGCATCACCTCAATCGCCTCCTTCAAGAGAGACTTAAAAACTCACCTCTACAACCACGCTTTCGAGCGACTCTGAGCTTGGCTCCGCGCCTCTGAGTTGCGGAAACTACGTCTGCAAATTTGCGCGCATTACAAATTGAACTATTATTATTATTAGAGTGCTGACTATCAGAAAGGGGAGGCTGTGATCGAGCAGCACCCACCCAGAGCTCGTTAGCCGAGCCAGACGGAGGGACAGCCCGAGGGCAGATGTTGTAGCTCACGTCTGCCCGTCGAAGGGAAATCGGTCCACAGAATTCGGGGGTGTGGCCCGTATTGGCAGGCGACTCGAGTTGACAAAACCACCTGCAATAGCGTCACCGGGAGACGGCATCTCGAGCTCAAACCCGAGCTGTGTGGCTCACGGAAGCTTGGTTTTATTGCACCACACGGCAGCATTACTTGTTGACGTTTTTCTCGGCAGGCTGCAGAGTTTTCTCGGGAAACAAACTGTGGTTTCGTCCGACACGTGAAGAAGAAACTTTTTAAAAGGAAGCATTGGCATCCCGGGCAGAACTCAAGCGAAAAAGGAGAAAAAAGAAAACGATCGCAATGACTCATTGAGGCTTTTCCAGGTGGAGTGAAAGGACAACCGGCTTCATTTTGATTTAAACAAAAAAATCTCTCCTACCTCTTCTTTTAAAGAGGCGCTCGCCCAAGCACGGATCGCGGGAGTACGCTGGCCCCGGCAAGTCGAGCTCCCCCTCCATCGTCATCCCCCACCAAAGGCTGGACGCCGCTAGCGTTGGCGGCGCGGCCGCTCGTTGCGTCTCGCCCACGAGCTTCAGCCTCCGCTACGACGACATCCACGTGGGCAGCGTGGAGCCGGCCAGGCCGACTGCGCCACCGCCGACGACCGCGGAGGCCACCCGCGACAAGGCGGGCTCCCGGCACGACGCGGGCACCCGGCCTAAGTCGTTCCACGGCGGCAAGGTGGGTGCGGGCCCACGGGCCCGCGGGGCCGATGACCCCCCGAGCTGTGCGCACCCCACCCCCGTCATCTCATTTGCCACCCCCACACTTTGTTCATCGTCATCATGAGAACTGTGATGGTTCTCATGGTGACGATGAGTGTTTCCACGAGGGTTCTCGCGATCGTGATGGTGAGTGTTTTTCCCTGATTGTTTTCGTGATGATGATGTATCCATGATGGTGATCGTGATGATGATGATATGTCCATGATGGTGCTCGTGATGACAATGATGTATCTATGTTGGTGATCGTGATGATGATGTATCCATGATGGTGATCGTGATGATGATGTGTCCATGATGGTACTCGTGATGACAATGATGTATCCATGATAGTGATCTTGATGACGATGATGTATTCATGATGGTGATCGTGACGATGATGATGTATCCATGCTGGTGATCGTGATGATGATGACGATGTATCCATGATGGTGATTGTCATGATGATGGTGAGCGCTGCTCTCGCAGGATGTGCCGGGAGATTCTCTGTTGCTCATGACCCACTCTGGGTCCAACAGCGCCGTTCATTCCGAGTCGCTGCTCAACAACTACCTCCGAAAAAAGGTGTGGGTTGACCTGCTGATCCCATCGCCCAACCCACTCGTGCGTCTGAATACCTATGGCTATGCGTCTGTGCGTGTTAATTGTGTGCTTACATACTGCAGATGCATTGTCCCATGCATTACGCCCGTCAATAAGCCCCTATGGCAGGTGTATTTTAATATCATAAAAACACTCCACCCCCTCGATTCCCCATAAGTTATGGTGTAGTTGTGAAGTGAGTGGCGAGGTTTCTGTACCTGTGCAGTGTGCTTATGACCAGCTCCGGTTTGGCAGCAGAGGTCTCACTCCAAATCAGTCGAACAGCATTGTATTTTCATCAGCTACATCACGCTGTGTGGAAGTTACCTGATCTATCTCTCCATAGAAAGTTCTGGGTCTTCTTGGCCACAGTCAGTCTCTGTCCTTGTGAAACATGGACCCCTCTATTAATAGAACATCTGCGCCGGTTCAAAACATTGAGGCTGGCCTGCCTACGATTCATCCTGGGTTTTACCAGACTGGATTCTGTGAGCTCATAAAATCTTCGAGACATCTGGACACAGTCCCATACGTGAGCTCCGTCAGGCGAGGCTGCGTCGGCTGGGTCATGTAGCCCGCATGCCCAACCACTGCATGCTGAAACAGCTCCTATTTGATTTCGATTTAAAGCTTTCGTGACTGCAGGGATTCATCTTCTTGGTTCTTTCGGTAAAGTCACGTAGAAGGGAAGTAATAAAATAATAAAAAATACCAGGTCTGTCGGGGAGACGCTGTCTCCCCGACAGACCTGGTATTTTTATTATTTCTTCACCTGATGACGGCTGCTTGCGTTGTGGCCGAAACGTCGTGAGAATTATTTTATTATGTTTTATTTTTATTATTTTATTACTTCCCTTCTACGTGACTTTACCGAAAAAACCAAGAAGCTCCTATTTGGCCAGGGCGGCTATACGTGCACGCCATGATCTTCAGAAATGCGCCGATGTGGTACATCAGTTTCAGTTTCATTTATTTGGTATAGCCCTGTGAGCCATTCGGCTCTTGAATCGGGTCCAACCGCAACAAACAAAAAACAAAAACACGAACAAGAAAACATCTTAAAGTGACTATGCGGAAACTAGGCCTCGGCAAGGTAAGGTAATTTACCATTTTTACCGGGTAAAAGGGTAAAGGTAGCTCGGAAGAATTACCTGGTAGGGTAAAGGAAGCGCTAAGTATTACCCGGTAAATACGGTACCTTGTTTACCGCTAAAAGCTCCGTGGCGCAGTCCGTGGCCTCCATTTAATAAATAATATTTTACAAAACAAAAAAACACGCTTTTATGAAATGTACTAGTAATGGAAGAACTCCACGACTCCAGGAAGTGGCCCCGAAGCTTGCCCTAACATAAGGGCTCCGTGGCCAATTACAGCCAACGTCAGTTGAGCGTGAAAAATTAGACCCAAGCCGAAACATAACGTATAAAAAATATTCTTTTAAAATATATTTATTTAATGATAGAATATAGTATTGTCATCAGTATGACATACGTATACCAAGTTTTCAGTCGATACCACATTAGGAAGTGGGTAAAAAATGAGTTACAAGATTTGAGGATACAACAACGACAACAACAACAATGACGACAACAACAACAACAACAGACAGTTAGTTAATAGAAAGCGTGTAAAATTGGAATCATCGAGAGTATTCTATATGATAGAAAGGCTCTACCTAGCATTTACCGTTATAAACCTTGTTCATGTGTAGTTCCCTAGTAATCTTATCTACAGCTCTGACAAATTGTTTCATAAGGCCCAATTTGATGTGCAGTGGTGGCATCAGCACCTTCCGGGGGTCCACCAGTGGCTCCCACTTAACATTGCTCCTCCCCACAGAGGACTCGGTCCGCTGTGGCCAGTCCCGCCTGTGGTAGTGCGCCTTGGTGTCCCTGCTGTCCCAAAGGCAAAGATAGCAGGGAAACTTGGTAAAACCGCCTTGGAGACCCATCATGAATGCCTCCATTTTTAAGTCCTCGATGACCTCCCAGCCGTACTCATCATACTTCGAGGTGTCCAGCAAGGTCTTGATGCTGTTGTGGTGCACCGAGTGAGCCAGGGGAAGAGATGGGTACTTGTTACCATTATGGAGCAGCACGGCTTTGAGGCTCCTGGATGAGCTGTCAATGAAGAGGCGCCACTCATTCTGTATTTATATTACTATTTATATTACTGGAAAGTTCTAGAATATTCTAGAAGTTACTACAAGTTTACTCAGCACTGAATCTATCTGGAACGTTCTGAAAGATAGTTACATTTCAAAATATCATTGTCCTAGTCACAAAAGCAAAGTTTGTGGGTAATAATAGCCATTTTCTGTACTTTTGAGGCATAAGCAATTAGGAAATAATACTTACTACCCAGGAACAAAAAAACATTTATTACACAGTGTTATCAGTACCAGCGGTGTCATGCTGCTGGGCAGTTGTGAGGCAGTCACCCTCCAACAACAATAGAGGGCAGAGGAGCGACGCCCACAACAATGAGCGGAGTGCTGAGCAGCTAAAACGCAGGAAGTTACCGCAATGGACAGCACAGGTGTTGCATCTGCCAGTCATCTCAGTCGGTCAACCCATGGCACCTGGTTCTGTCCCCTGACCTCCTGTCAGCAACGAGCCTTTGACACTTCACTTGGCCTCACGTGGCCTCAAAAGTGCACCGAGCCGAATGGCGACAGTTGTGGTTGTGGGGCACTGGTGTAAGTGGTAAGTGCACCGTGCCATGAACCCCGTCAACCTGAGTTGGATTCTCGACTCTGGCTAACATCAGTTTTAGTCATATCAGAGCTGATCCTGGGCCTCTCTTGAGTTGACTCGGCCTTGAATGAGTACCTGCTGCAGCGTGTAAACGTCAGCACTGGGAAGGCAAAGGCGACCAGGAGTGATCCTGGCCACACCACCTCCTGCTCCATGCCAGCCTTAATAGGTCCATTCGCTAACAACACATTCCCCACCAGTTTGTAAAGTCTAAATGGGGGATATTTGTCGTTTTGTTTTGTGTTGTCTGCGTGTAGATGGAGGAGATTGAGCACGCCATGCTGCTCTCCCCTGGCCGCTCTCCCCAGAGCCTCATAGCTCGACTCCAGCACCTCTCCCTGTACAACACCGAGCAGCCCAGCCTGGTGGTACGGAGACCGAGCACGCGGCAACCAGACGACCTCTAGCCTACCTCAAGCCTAGCTCTAGCCTAGCCCTAGTCTATCCCTAGCCTCGTTCTAGCCTAGCCCTGGCCAACCTCAAGCCTAGCTCCAGCCTAGCCCTAGTCTAACCCTAGCCTCGTTCTAGCCTAGCCCTGGCCTACCTCAAGCCTAGCTCCAGCCTAGCCCTAGTCTAACCCTAGCCTCGTTCTAGCCTAGCCCTGGCCTACCTCAAGCCTAGCTCCAGCCTAGCCCTAGTCTAACCCTAGCCTAGTTCTAGCCTAGCCCTGGCCTACCTCAAGCCTAGCTCTAGCCTAGCCCTAGTCTATCCCTAGCCTCGTTCTAGCCTAGCCCTGGCCAACCTCAAGCCTAGCTCCAGCCTAGCCCTAGTCTAACCCTAGCCTAGTTCTAGCCTAGCCCTGGCCTACCTCAAGCCTAGCTCTAGCCTAGCCCTAGTCTATCCCTAGCCTCGTTCTAGCCTAGCCCTGGCCAACCTCAAGCCTAGCTCCAGCCTAGCCCTAGTCTAACCCTAGCCTAGTTCTAGCCTAGCCCTGGCCTACCTCAAGCCTAGCTCTAGCCTAGCCCTAGTCTAACCCTAGCCTCGTTCTAGCCTAGCCCTGGCCTACCTCAAGCCTAGCTCCAGCCTAGCCCTAGTCTAACCCTAGCCTAGTTCTAGCCTAGCCCTGGCCTACCTCAAGCCTAGCTCTAGCCTAGCCCTAGTCTATCCCTAGCCTCGTTCTAGCCTAGCCCTGGCCAACCTCAAGCCTAGCTCCAGCCTAGCCCTAGTCTAACCCTAGCCTAGTTCTAGCCTAGCCCTGGCCTACCTCAAGCCTAGCTCTAGCCTAACCCTGGCCTAGCTCGAGCCTAACCCTAGCCTAGCTCTAGCCTAACCCTGTCCTAACCCTAGCCTAGCTCCAGAGCACGCGCCAGCCAGACTAGCTCTACCCTAGCCCAGCCCTAGCACCACCTAGCCTGAGCATAGCCCTAGCACCACCTAGCCCTAACCCAGCCCTAGCACCACCTAGCCTGAGCATAGCCCTATTCACCACCTAGCCCTAACCCAGCCCTAGCACCACCTAGCCTAAGCCTAGCCCTAGCACCACCTAGCCCTAACCCAGCCCTAGCACCACCTAGCCCTAACCCAGCCCTAGCACCACCTAGCCTGAGCATAGCCCTAGCACCACCTAGCCCTAACCCAGCCCTAGCACCACCTAGCCTGAGCATAGCCCTAGCACCACCTAGCCCTAACCCAGCCCTAGCACCACCTAGCCTGAGCATAGCGCTAGCACCACCTAGCCCTAACCTAGTATTTCCTTACACAGAGACGTAGTCGATGCCTTATCGAGCCACAGAATCCTGCCCCCAAGGTTAGTTTGAGTCAGACGCCCAGCGTTTGCCGAACCCTATCCACTACCTCGAGACCAAGCGCATCCCACTTTACTTGGTATCTGCTCGCGAGTAGCCGCTGCGTCAACAGTCCGTAGAGGCTCGAGAGGGATCCGCGATTACCGAGTGCACGCGCGCGCACACCTTCCCGCCCGCTGCGCATTGCGCACACGTGAATTAACGCGCGCGCTCGTTTTGCAGGCGACGGGGTTGGAGAGCCACGGGCGGATGGGCGAGGAGGTCTCCTCGAGCGTGCTGAGCACCCCGGTGCTGCAGATCTCGGAGGAGAACTCGCAGGACCGGGTGGCGAAGCTCCACGGCGCGCGGTTCGCGCTGCCGCTCTGCGCCAGGGAGGGAGCCCTGCGATCGGCGGCGCCGTCACCGCTGCCGCCGGCGTTGTCCGTCTGCACCGGTGAGGGGCCCGAGAGGGAGGCCCGGGATCTCGGCGCGGTGCGGCGTGGCCGGGGGCGGCGGGTTAAGGGGGCCGGTCACGCGGGCGAACCGGGCGACGCGGACACCGACGGCCTTCGCGCCCGCTCTATGCATAGAGCGGGAGACTTGTCTAAAAATACCCATCCCCCCTTTCTCTGCCCCCCGTCTTAGAATGTTGATTACCGCTTCCCTGCCCCTCTTCCCCCACGCCCCCTAATATACCTGAGCCTTCCCCCCACTGCCCAACGGATCGTACAGGTTGGGTTGTGTTGAGCCTTACATCCCTCACCTACGGATGGCTCTAAAGCTCCCCCCCCAACTCCCTCCGTGGTGTTTCTGCCCCCCTACCGCGCAACGATCGGCGCGTTGTACCAGGCTTTGCATTTACCACAACAACAACAAAAAGATACAATCCTCGACAATGACGGCCTTTCGCGGTCGCTCTACGCGTACAGCCTGGACGCGTCGAAACAAAATAATCCACGACGCCTGACAGCCCCGCGTAGCTTCAGCCGAGGCGGGCGGGGAGGGGAGGAGGGGGTGGCAGTTGACCAGCAGCAGAGACATCGAGGTCTGGCAGGGAAAGTATGTATGCACGTTGAACTTATTTCGCACTGTCGTAGCCAACCGTGCAAATCGGAGGTGCAGGGGAAGGACAACAAAATGAAACACAAAGAGCAGTTCTGCGTGGATTTTCCCAATGCCCGAGTGACTCTTCCCCATTCCCTCTGCGATCGTGTGTGGCTGCACAGATGGATGCAAGGATTCTCACTGCAGCATTGAGGAGGACCCGATGGAAGATTTCCCCTTATTATTGTCGCTCACAGAAAGCCAGAGGCTCAAGTCCGACAGCATCAGCAAGATGCTGCAGGTGGGAGCAGCACTGCCTGCTTAGCACTCGCACACAAGACACACGTAAAAACAAAGATCCCCCGTAAAGCCTTTAAAAGACATTTAAGGCAAGTGTTGTTAGTGAGCACCTATGAAGACCGGCACGGCACACAAGGGTGTGAGCGGGCCAACACCACGCCCCGGGCAGCCTTTGTCTTCCCTGTACTGATGTTTACACACCGCACCAGATTACTGCTTTAAGGCTGAGTCGACCTATGGGAGGACCAGGAATGGTTCAAGTATTCATCATCGATGTTTGCCATGAGCAGGAATCGAATTCAGGTCACCTTGTTTGTCAGTGCTGTTCACTTGCCCATTACACTACCGCGCCCCACCATTACAAATACGCACAAAGACAAAGATCCCCCATATAGCCTGCACATACTTTTGCGGAAAGTGCTGTTAGCGAGCACCTATGAAGGCCAGCACAGTAGCACGCCCGGCCACGTTTGTCTTTCCAGCGCCTAGGTCGACGGTGAGTCGAGCAGAGGTCTCACTCGGAATCAGTCAAGCGGCATTATCTTTTCATCGGCTGTGCGATGCTGTGTAGAAGCTACCTGGTCTGTCGCTCCAAACGAAGCTTCGAGTCTTCTCGGCAACGGTCATGCCCTCCCTTGCGAAACGTGGACCCCCAAATGGAGCATCTTCGCCGGTTAGAAACATTTAGGCTGGCCTGCCTACGATCCATCCTGGGTTTAACCAGGTTGGATTGTGTGAGCTCACAAATCCTTGAAAGAACTGGACAAAGTCCCATCGGTGAGCTCCTCCAGCAGGCAAGGCTGCGTTGGCTTGGATCATGTAACCCGCATTCCCAGCCACCGCATGCCCAAACCGCTTTGTTCGGCCAGATAGAGGGGGCTAAAAGGGGTGCGGCATGAGCTCGAGATGAGATGGAGTGATGTGGTTGAAGGGGACGTGGAGCTGAGTGGACTTGCCGATGACTGTTACTAGCGGTGTCAAGATCGGCCTCTCTGGAGGAGGCTCATGAAGGACGCTACTGGGCAGTTGGAGGTAGTCACACTCCAGAAACAACGGAGGGCAGAGGAGCAACGTTCAAAACGAGCGGAGCGCCGGGTGGATAAAACACAGCAAGTTGGCACAGTAGGGGGCACAGGTGGTGCATCGGCCAGTCATCTCAGTCAGTCAACCCATGGCATCTTGGGTCTGTCCCGTGACCTCCTGCCAGCGGGCGTTCAACACTTCACATGGCCTCAAAGGGCATATGGCCTGGCACAGACACCGTGGTTGCGGTTGTCGTTAAGTGATGTAAGTCAGTATGTTGTATGTATGCTGTATGTATGTATGTTGAATTTCTTTTGCACCGTACGTAGCCAAGGGTGCTAATCGGAGTTGCGGGGGAAAGACACCAAACTAAACACAAAAAAGCAGTTAGAAAGAAATGAGTTTTCAATCTAGATGTGAAAGTGCACAACTCCAGTGGTTTCCTACTAACATGCCGCCGTTCCCGCCCGCCCGCCCGCCCGCCCGCGCGTCTGTCGTGCAGCGCAGCATCTCGATGCCGAGCCTCCCCGCGCTGGCCGCGGGCCCCGCGGGCTCCGCTTCCACGCTGGAGCTGTATGACCAGCCCACGCTCGCCATGCTGCAGCGCTGCCGCTCCGCCACCGAGTACCTGCAGCAGTTCACCTCGTGGGACCGCGACGCCGCCGCCGCCATCAACGCCAACGGCGACTCCCGCGGCGACGGGGATGGAGCGCCGTGCCAGAGCGGCGGCCCGGGCGGGCACTTCTCCACGTTCAGCGGCGAGCTCGGCTCGCAAGACCTCCGGATCTCGTACGGCTGTGACGGCGGTGCCGTGACGGCACCCACCGGTGGCAGCCGGGCTGCGCCGGCCGACACATCGTCCGGAGGGTCAGGGTTGGCGGGTGGGGGGGAGGGTAGGGGGAGGTCATCGAATGTTTTCATATGAGTCGAGGGACCCATGGAGCCATACGGGCGATTCGCGAACGTTTTGTCAAGAGGCCCCTGCCGTTATTGCAGAAGGATTGGAAGGAGTTACGGCTCGAGCGCCGTGACGATAATGAGGATGAGAGTCGCTGCAGGGCAGGAGGAGTGAGTGGTGTGACGACGGCTATGATTGCGCACAAGAGGGGAAGATGAAGGAAGTGGATCTGTAACAGGAATCTCCGCGGGAGACGTTGAAGATCGCAAAGGACGGGGGGGCGGGGGGGACACATTAGACGTCAACCGTCGGTTTCGAAGATGACAACGGGATAGACAGGAAAGCCACTCACCGGACACATGAATAGTCAGCTGTGACAGAAACCAAACTCCTCAATTAAGAACTTTTGTTCCCCAGCATCCAGCCAACGTTCACTGAAAATAATTGCCAGTCAGTGATTTTGGCCAAACGTCGTTTAGTCATGAATGTTAATAAAATTATTACGATAATAAAATAGAAAAAAAATCCGGTCCTCGAAGATACGCAGCCCGCTCAAGACCACAAGAGATTAAATCAATATAAAATCCTTAATTTTCTTTTGAAATGCGCCAGTGACACGGTGAAGGAGTGGACACGTTGCAATTTGTTTTAGGTGGAATAATTTTACCCCACTTCCAATTGGTGCATTCCTCCGGTGTGCAGCACCGCGTCCATGGCTTGTTGACGCCACGGCTGCGGTTGTAACGCCACACGTCAAGCGGGCTGGGCGGCTTACTTCTCAGAAACACCTCCGAGCAAGAAAGCTTCCCCAGAAATGCTCGCGATTTTTCTTAAAGGTCAAACCACATTGTTTTTTACAAGACGAAATACAAGCTACGGTATAATGCGAACCTAAAACGTGACATTGAACGTGTCACCGACGCCGACGACGGTTGTTCAGCGTAGCGCGTTCTTTGGCGTACGTACGAGAGGAGGGGGCCCGGTACGGCCCCACTTCTGACGGATGGGGATTTACGGCAGCACCTTGTAAGCGAGGTCGTCCTTGAGAATTCTGGCCACGTGGAAGCCACGTGGAAGCTTTTCACAGCCATTGTTACAGAACGTGATGTCAGAACTTACGTCCGTTTGCCTGAGAACGTGCACGTGTGTACGTGTACCTCAAGTGACGAGTATCTGACTCGGCCTCAAATAAGTACCTGGTGTGATGCGTAATCATCGCCACTGGGGAGATAAAGGCGGTCGGGCGTGGCGCTGGCCACCCACGCCCTCGTGTGTCGTGTCAGCCTTCATAGGTGCTGTCCACTAATGGCACTTGCCCCAAAAATCTGTGAAGGCTGGACGGGGGATCTTTGTCTTTGTTGCCGAATCGTGGTGACATCAACGGCTTTGGCCGTGGTGACGTAATCTTGATCTTAAAAACTCAAGGGACATGGAGTTTGCTCACAGGGGCTCACAAAAGCAAGTGTGGTGCTCTTCTTGGCCTGCTTGCAAAATGTTAAACGACGAGGAGAGTCCCACTGTGATCGTTTCGTGTAACTTTTTAACTCGTGATATTTTCTCATTAGTCTTTAGGCAGAATGCTGTACCAGAGGTTTCAAGCTGTGCAATAAATATAACGTTTTTGCACATCCACGATCATATTTCCCGAGGACTATCTGTTCTGAGTGTGTGTACAGCTGTTGCAGACCAAGCAACAAAGATAATCTCACAGTCAACAGTGCAGAGGCTGGAGGCGCCACGATGGCGAAATGCGAACGACCTCACAAGGTGTGCAAGCACTGGCGGAGGGGGGGGCTGCCACGTGCCCCCCCCCCCCCCCAATGATCCGATCGAAATTCCTAATTTTGATCGGATCATTGACGTTTATTAGTAACTAGCTGTACTACCCGGCTTCGCCCGGGACTTGGATTCACCACGCCCGGCCGCATTTGTCTCCCCAGTGGCGATGTTGACACACACAACTTACTCGTTTGAGGCTGAGTCGACCTAGGGGAGGCCCAGGACCGGGTTCGTAACGCAGCGCGCTAACCACTACACTACAATGCGTGATGCTTCCACATGCGCGGGTCACGTGACAGATTTGACGTCACAGCTCACTTGCCGTGCAAAAAAAAAATGAATTATTGAGCTCCCCCCCCCCCCCCAAAAAAAACACACAAAAGTGTATTTTTTAATGATTTTTGCATGGTGTACAGTCTGGAAAGTACCCACATGGCAAATTTTAAGTTTGTTGCATGTCGGGAAGTAGCTAAACATTTGAACAGACACACATAATCGGCATTTTGCGACCCCCACTGCTGCTGTGTAGAATATTATTACGCACCAGCGACTCTATGAGATGATAGGAGAATAGTCTGAGTCCATATTGGCAATAAGTAACGGCAAAGCAGTTATAAGTGACTCAGAATTCTGCGCAGTTGCTGAAGGTTTTTGACTTCCCTGAAGGCATTCACCTTCAGCGAGCGCGATGCCGATCACACCACGCGGTTCGAATTCGACCCTCCATCGATGGCTGCGCCATCGCCGCACACGCGTCGAATAAAAAGCAAGGGACAAGTCCTTACTTACTAACAACTCCTTACTTACTAACAACTCCTTACTAACAACTCTATCATTTTTCATTGCTGGAGGGGTTGCCTCCCCCTACCTGAAAATCCTGGCTCCGCCATTGTGTGCATGGAGATCGTGGGTTCGATCCCTGATCCTGCCCCTGTGTATTTGGAGTTTGCATGTTCTCCCCGTGGTCGCGTGGATTTTTGTCCAGGTTTTTCCCCTTCACATTTAGAAATGTGCATTTAGAGTATTTGGCTGCTATTAATCTACACACGATAAGCCACTTCGTTGAGCTATAATTTGTGGCCAGGTCGCTTCTGAAAAAGAACTACAGAGCTCAGTGGGCCTTACCTGATAAAAAAACAAGTTTTAGTTCATCTCTTCCTCTGCAATTCACAACAGGAAGCTTGAGTTTGACTTTAGGAATTAAGAGTGAACTAAGCAATAATCTTAGACGCAATGCACAATTACAGGTATTTTTTGTTTTAATTACAATCCACACAGAACAAATTCGTGTTTGAGGCACGTGATGAACAGTGTGTCTGTGACGGTGGTTGGTGCCGTCACTACTCAATGGCGTGGACACGTGTTTTTGCACCATGCTGACACTGATCACGTGCATCGCGGCCGGGCCACCCATTGGTTCGAGATGAGTGCGTGGCAGCCAATTAGGTGTGACTGAGCTATGATTGGCCTAACTTACACGTGCGGAGGAGCGAATGACGTCGTTCCTCCAGCAGGAGATTTAATGACTACAGTATTGGCTATTTTTTGCATCATGTTACAATTAAATAGCCCATTGTCTGAAACCCGTGCGCAGAGTTCTGAATTGGAGTAAGGGGCCGTCCATAAATGACGTCACGCGATTTTGGACGATTTTTTACCCCCCCCCCTCGTCACATGGCGTCACAAAATGTCAGACCCCCCCTCAAATATGACTTCACAAAGCTCTGCCCCCCCCCCCCCAAATAAAACATGCTTCAAATCGCTATTAACTATTGTCATTGTAGTGCGTATTTAATGTGGCGCTGCACTCTGATGTTGTAGGAGAAAACATTTATTAAAAAGTCTATTTAATTAAGTAGAACGTGTTGTCTATATTTATTTAAAGTTTCGCATTTTGATGTGACGTCACATTTCTCAACCCCCCCCCCCTCGTCACACATCGTCATAAATGTCTGACCCCCCCCCCCAGATGCGTGACGTCATTTATGGACGGCCCCTAATTAGGTGTCGAGGCAAGCAGGTGGGTGTCATGGCTGAGTGTGGAGCTGCTCTACCATTGCCGAGGGATGGCGAACGGCTCTTATCTACAAAAAAAAGGAGAGCTCAGGCCATTTACAGAGCAGAGGAGTTGGTGACACTTTTACTGTTAGGAACCTCCTGGTTACACCAGCCCACAGGGGATTATTGTGTCCGTCCGTCGTGCATACAAAAATGGGAGGGGTGGGGCTGGGTGGGGAGGGTGGGGAGGGGCTGGGTGGGGAGTATGGGGAGGGGTGTCGGTGGGTAGGGGAATGTGGGGAGGGGCTGGGTGGGGAGGGTGGGGCTGGGTGGGGGGTGGGAGGGGTGGGGCTGGGTGGGGAGGGGCTGGTCACCCCGTGGTGCCCTTATAAAACTCAACGTTTAACCTACTCACGCCGGCTTGTGCCCGCCCTCACAGTCGGCCATATTTGCGGAATACACCACGCCGCCGTTGACCCTGGCCATTGACCGAGCAACCCAACGTTCCTACCAGCTCCCTCCGCAGGAATGTGTTAACTACCCACGGTGGAGACTAGTTCCAGCAGCAGTCACAACAGCAGCAGCAGTGACAGCAGTTTTTAACTTAAGGTGAGCAGAGTCAACTTAACACTGTGAACTGCCCAGGTTCACGCTGTAAACTCCCCACACTCCACCGTGTCACACGTGCAATATTCCATAACATCAGGGTCCTTGAAAGGTGAGAGAGGGACTCCCACAGTGTGAATTACAGTGGCCGTCTGGGCCACAGTCTACCTACGGTCAAGGGCAAGAGCGGGGCAGGGCAAAGGTAAAGGAGCAGAAGGCTAACCCCCTCTAGCGCTGCCCTCTGGCAAGGAATGAAGCCGGTGCAGGAGTGCGCTACCCAACTTGCAACGCACACTAAACCTCCACTTCGCTGTGGATTGGCAGTGGCGCGTGGAACTACTGCTTCGTTCGTATGGCTCCTGGTGTACATGGCAGAACAACTACAGTTTCGCATTTTTCAGGCGGAGTCAAGCCAGATAACCGAGCAACGGGAGCGTATCATCGCTGCGATGAACTGGATTACTGTTGGATGTTGAACTTCTCTCGCACCGTACGTAGCTCAACCGTGCTCGTCGGAGGTGGGGGGGGGGGAGGACAACGAACGAAACGCACAAAGCAGTTCTGAAGAAGCGAGTTATCAACTTTGGATTTAAAAGTGCAAAGCTCTCCCAGGTGGACGTTTGAGCTGCTGGCGAGTTGCTGGTGGTGACTGGCGGAGAGAGAAGTGGTCGAGGCGGCGTGCTTGGAGCCATCTGGTGGATTGTGGCGGTGGGTGGCTCGTGTGGAAAGTCGTGGGCTTGAAGGTGTTCCCACATTGACCTCCAGAACATCTCACCTTAGGGGTGGGCGTGAAATCGCCAAATGTGTTCCAAACAGCCTCGGTGGCGAGCGATGGCCGAGGCAACATCGTTTCAACGCGTAAGTTGGGTCGTGTGTAAATGTTGAACTTCTTTCGCGCACTACGGAGCCAACCGTTCCAATCTCAGCATCGTGTTTCGGCAATGGCTTGCGCGAGTCTGTGCTTGGGTGTCATTCTTTCTTGATACTTTTCCTCTCGCTGTGTAAAAAAATATATAAAATAAACCCCGCGCTGCCCAGTGTAAACCCTATCTACAAAACAAAGTCGAACCACCTTTAACGAGTATCGTCACAAGTGAAAGCTAGGACAAACTTGAGATGCCCGTTTCATGTTTGGAGTTCGCGTGTTCTCTCTCCCCGCGGTGGTCTGGGTTCCTCCAGTGTTCCCCCCGACATTTGAGAAACTTTGATTTCGATTTTGGCTTCTGTTAATTACCACTAAATATCTGCGAAAATGTGCTTCATAGCGCCATCGGATTTATCCAGGATAAGTAAAGATTCTGATTCTGACCACATGATGATATAATTCACTTTGATGAGCCACCATGTGCGGCCAGGTTGCCTCTGAAATATAGCAAATAGCTCCGTGGGCTTTTACCTGGTAATATGAAAGTATTTCTTTTCTCATCACACTCCGTGGCCTTGCTGGCCAAATTCACGGACCTTAAAACGTGATTGCCACCTTGCTGCGTTAGCGTCCGATCGGACTAAAACGAAGATTGCAATAATCGTCTCTTCCACGCTCGTTTCTCGCCGTGGCAACGTCGATTTCGACCAGCATCCGAGTCGGGTGGGGGGAGAAGCAGAGTTCGTCACCTCGCTGGGAAGTCATTTTGTAACGCACCGCTGCTGGCAGAAACGGCCTCCGCAAGGGGCGGGGGGGGGGGAGGAGGCTCTTGAGAGTTGTACAGTAAAGATATTTGGTCTACTCTTTCACAGGGCCGTCCATGGGGGGGGGGGGGGGGGGGTTGCGAGGCAAATCCCACTGTGCGCCCCCGGCCCCGATCCCTTCCAACTAAACCGGTATATCTGACACACAGTGACGTCGAAGAGCGACGCCCCTTAAACTGCAGGGCCCAGGGCGGTCGCCCCAATTTGCCGTACCCTCGGGAAGGCTGTTCTTACACGCGGGCCAGATATCTTGGAAGAGGTGGGATTCACCTACCAATGTACCACCGCTCGCTCGCCCACCACCACGCGCCACCTACCGAACGACTGCAGCGTTCCCCAATTGCACCGCTGGGTGGACAGGTGGCGTGGGAATTTTAGAAACTTGGCACCAGTTTCAAGTGCAGCGTCGGAAAGATTGAACCGGCGACCCTGTATCACAATGTCCAGTGTGCCGACCGTTATTACACCACGACTGCATTCCCCATTTGTAATCAAATGTAAAATGTACATCTAACTTGATTGTGTAGTTGAAAATGTGCCATTTATCAAGTTTATTGTACAATTTAACAAAAAAACAACCAATGCAAGACTAAACTTGGTGACAAACATCACAGCGACTTGAGGCTGTTGCGTGGTCCTGCATTTAACATTTAAGTTTATCTGTATTTGCCACCAATTAACGCTAACAAGGGATAATCACGTTACTGTCAAGCGTTGGCTTCAGTGGCTGGCGAGGAATATTAAGCCGCTTATCCCAAAGTGCCAGAGAGCAATCAAGCACTCGCTAGCAGAGTCCATGTCCTCTTTACATCCTTTTAAAAGGAAATCCAAAATGGGTGCACATTTAAATATCGCTATGCATGAACTCCAAATGGCCAAAGATGAAATTGGCGATTCAGGTTTTTCATCTGAAAACTCTGGCTTAAACCGCTGCTTGCAACTGAAGTGGCGTTCAATGTTACCATGGCGGCTGCAATTCAGTCGAAGGGGAACGGAGTCAGAATTCCATTGTGCCCAATTGCAGCAGCAGCAGCAAGACCCGAGTTCATGAACGGGACCAACACTTGGCGTTTGACTGCCAGCTGTCTTCTCCATTCACAAAACCGCACGCCAACTCGGCGCACCAATGGGACGCTGCTGCGAACATTCCCACCTGACAAGAGTGAACACACCAGCCACGGCACATACAGAGCCCCGCCAAAGGAACGTGGAAGTTCCTTCACCGGCTCAAACGAGCACCGCCCAACACTTCATTCGTAGCGAGGCGCTAACTTTGGAGAGTTGTGAAGCTTACGCTTTATTCGAGCCCGAGACATTGTGCATTCAATTACATTGTTTGCTTAAACATGCGTCATGTGCACAGTGTTATAACGTCAGAATGTTCCGGTGTGCATACTCGGTGTAGCGCTATTATCATCTTGCCTCCATGTTAATAAACACAAATATAAAAAAAACCTGACCACCTTTGTCCTACTGCCTTCTCAAAAAATACAGCTAACACTTTGGGCAAATGGCCTTTTCTTTTGAACAGATGGGAAGGCCAGAACATTGTGACTATAGTTTGGGATTATCGGCTTTGTTCAAAATTGTGCAGTATTTTGAAGGCACTGCAAAGCAGATCAATCACAAACTATAGAAAGCAGTCTCCCCCTGCCTTCAGACGCTATGCATCTACAACGCTTGCACCCTGCCAGTTGCGCTCCATTGCTCCGGCCTGGACACACTGCTCGTGTCCGACACCAAGCATCGCGGTGGCTTTCCATGTGCGTTGCCAGCGACACATCGAGCCGTCTCACTTCGTCACCAATGTATATTACGTTGAACTTCTTTCGCACCGTACGTAGCCAACCGTGCGAATCGAAATTTCACCGTGACATCCCCGCACTGCTGTTTCTCAAGAGTACCTCCTCTGGACATGGCAGTCTGGGATTATTCGAGCGCGAAATCAACCAGATGTTCTGGCTTAACCTCACAATGGATCCGAATCAAACCCTGACCGTACATGGGTTCTGCCTGGTGGGAGCATCCGAGTAAGATATAAAGACAACTTAAAACTCGTCAATTCTGAAAGGCTTCAGTTTGAGAAGGGGCAATTGTATGTATGCTGAACTTCTTTCACACCGTACATAGCCAACCGTACTAACCGGGAGGTGTGGGGAAGGACAAACAAGAAAAACAAGGTTTGTTCTCATCGATGAAACAAAATGCCAAGGCAACCTCTTACACAAGCGGTATAGGGGCCAGAGCGGTTCTCCCAGGGAGCTGTATGGAATCTAGGCAAAGATGAAAAAACCCAAACCTGGGGTTTTATACATATGTCCAAACTGGAGCAATGAGGCACCAGCAATAGATTGACACGATTATGAAAACCATCCTTGTTTATTCGGGCAGGTGTTGAGCATGAAACCTTCACAAACGGATTCAGCACAGCCTCAAAAGGAGAACGCTAACAACAGGCAGGTGAAATTTAACAAGCACACACATTTTCGCTGCCGCTTCTAACGCAAGAGCTATTTTTTTTTCCAGGCTGGTGTTGCGTGTCGAGTATTTCTTTCTCACGAGCGTTTGCCGCGCACTGCTTGTGGGCCATCTTCAACAGGTGGATGTGAAGATGGCCCCGCAAGGAGAGCTTGGTGGCGCAAGCCTGAGAGAATTAAGTGGCTCAACACGCAGTCCAAACCAGAAATCTAAACTTGGTGAGGGTTGAGGAGGGGGGGTTGTGTGGGCTCCACAAAGAAATGTTTAGAAGCAGAATCTCGCTGCATTCACGACCTCCCTGTGACTCCCGAGTGCTTCGAAGCTCAGCTGAACTTTGCTTTTGAAAAATCCATCTCGGGGTGTTGATCCATGAATCTGCAATTAAAAACAAAAAACGTACGCATGTTGAACTTTATTTCGCACACCGTACTTAAGCCGACCGCACTAATAGGAGGTGCGGACACAATTGAACAGAAATTTAATTTGGGACTAACATTTGTACGCGTGCTGTGTCGCGTCATGTTTTTGTTCGATATATATATTCACATTCGCGTCAAGTTTTTCTATGCTATCACCAATTATTGATGATTTGTGGCATTCGACTAGTGTCATACCACAATGGAGCATTCTTCTGTAACTTCTCAAAAGGGGCCTCCAAATATGTTGGTGGACGATCGTTGAAGAGGATACCACAAAACAATTTCTGAGTTGCGTCCTCCCAACACCAAAGTACGTGGTTGACGCATGCCAAGCATGTGCGATAATATGTACATTTTTAACCCTCAAATCTCACGAGGACATGAGTTGAACGATGTGATTGGTAGTTTTGTGACGTCATTGGTGATTGGGCTTTAACTATCAACTTTGCAAGGTGGCCAGTATATTGAATTACAGCAAGGAGGTTGCCAATCTAATACGTTGTTGTATTAGATTAGCTCATGAGTGGGTCTTCTATGGGCATTGCGGCTTTGTCCCATACACAAATGACTTAAAGAATTGGCCAATGCAGGGAACTCCCCGAGATTCAGTAATGCTTTCTTGGACAAAAATATGAATACTCTTAGGATTTTTCGGTAAAGTCACGTAGGTAAAAAAATAAAAATAATAGAAATAAAATAAAAAATCACTACGTTTCGGAGGCAACACAAGTCTCCGTCATCAGGTGGGACCGTCACAGCTAAAGTTACTGTATCAACAAGTAAGGGCTTGTCTCTTGGATTTTTCCTCACTTGATACAGTAAATTTAGCTGTGACGGTCCCACCTGATGAGGGAGACTTGTGTTGCCTCTGAAACGTCGTGATTTTTTAGTTTAATTTAATTTCTATTATTTTTATTACTTATTTTTATTTTTTACCTACGTGACTTTACCGAAAAAACGTAAGAGTATGAATCCTTGCAGTCACGAAAGCTTCAAATCTAGAACAAAAATATGAAATTATAAAAAACAACTCTGTGGTTTAACTACAGATAACTTCCCAGAATCAAACCCAGGCTCTGAGAGGGACTGGTCAGAGCTGACGGACATGTGACCCCCACGAGTGAGAAACTGCGCCCCCGTCACTCACTTCTTTAAGATGTCTTGTTTCTTCTGATCTTCAGAAGTGGGGAGGCCCATGGCCTTTTGACGCTGGTCATACATCATTTTCTCCACCATGCTGCGCGTTTCTCCATCCAAATCGGAGAGCTGCACACAAACAATACGGATTTCTAAACATAGGGCGCTTGTTAAAATGTCTCAGTAACTCGAGCGCCTTACGCCATATTTCATCCCAGGGGGGACCCGTCCTTGTGCGACACAATGCTAACAACACGGCACCATACCTGCATTAGTCCGCCAGTAAGGGACGCTGTAACCACGTGGCTTTTCCCAATGAAACAACTTGCAAGTCATTAATCAAATTTGGATCGTGTCGCCAGCACACAGCGGCCCACTCTTTTTCGAACGACGTCACGGGATATTTAACTTTGACCGTGAAGCAGATGGCGTGTTATCTTTAATTCACCGGCAGTGTTTACCAGAGCGGCACCGACCCAGAACGACGGAACCTCTGCAACAAGCGGTGTACCCAGAGATTACTGTTTGGCCATGTCCCCAGCCCCAAAGAAATATTCCATGTCATCCCTCCTAAGTTCCGTTTGTACAGCTTACTCTTCTTGACAAAGCGCAGTTGAGCTCCTGCCATTGTTTTAATTCGGGCACCAGGTAGCAAAGGGGCAACGCAGCCACGAGTAGAAATCAATGTGTCACCAGCATTGTAACACTAAATGATGCGCACGGTCTTGATACACAACAGTGCACGTGCACATGATCAATACCGCACCTTTGAGTTCTCAGGGTTGACTTTACGCGTGTTGATTTCAGGGTCCGAGACAACTAAGCGGCTCCACCATTCCATTTTGTTGATCTGCAACAACGCAGGGGGGGAAGAGAGGATTAACACGACAAGAAAACATTGCGTGACATAAGCAAAGAGACAGCTCCCCCCCCCCACACCATATGGAGGTGCAAACAGAGCTGCATATAAAATGTCAGAGCAAGTGCTGCTGCAGAGAAGAACTGCAAGGTAGGAAAGATGGCTGTGGCCAACACCACGTGCCCCACAGCCAGTGATATTCGCGCTGCATGTTGTACATCGGCAAACACGCCATGTACGAGGGATATTCCACATTTTTAGATGAACATGAAAAATGAGGATCGGCAATCTGCGTCTCATGCATTCACACGGCTCTTGAAATATTGAGTTTGACTAAAGTTAGAAAAAAATGGCTGCTCTTATTATTTTGGTTGCCGACCCCCCCTTGCCTCGCTAAAGAGTTTCAGATGTTATTTGTGTTTCGGATTGATCTGAAATGACGTCTCCTATTTTGTCACTTCCATGCTTTCCCCCGTCAATAGTGGCGTCACGTGGTATTGGGCGACGTGACGTTTGTAATCACGAAGACACGTTCAAGAATCCATGTAAGTGATCCAACGACCCAAACATCCGAAACTGCTCTTAAATTCGAAATTTAAAATCTGAATTTCATACCCAATCGCCACCGACATTCAAGGTCAAGGATTGAACCGGGGTGGAATTTATTTTTTTATTTTACCACCAGGTAAGGCCCACTAAAGCTATAAAAGCTGTTTTTCACAAGCGACCTCGCCATAAATTATAGTTAAACAAAGTATGATAATTGGTTCTTTACCCTTCTATCTGGCAACAAAACTGACACCTTTTTGCAAGGAGTCATGTTTGCATAGACCGCAATACCTGCAGTCATAATACAAACAAAAGAACATAACTCTGATAATGTGCACTGTCCTTGAAGTTGATTGGTCCGCACCCGAGACAGCTTTCCTTCGAGCCTAGTCTCATATGGGTTATGACTGCAGGTATTGCGGTCTATGCAAACATGACTCCTTGCAAAAAAGGTGTCAGTTTTGTTGCCAGATAGAAGGGTAAAGAACCAATTATCATATTTTTACTGGCAAATGAGGTCCCCATAGTGTTAAACAAAGTAGTTTTGGAGTTTTCGTGACTGCAGGAATTACTCTTTGGTTCTTTCGGTAAAGTCACGTATTATTTAATTTATTTCTCTTTCAACGTGACTTTACCGAAATAACCTAAACAATGTAGCTTATCACGTGCATATTTATAGCAGAAAGATACTCCATAAACGCATGTTTCTAAACGTGGAGGGAAAAACCGGAGGACCCGGAGAAAAATCCATGCAACCATGGGGAGAGAACACGCAAACTCCAAATATACATCAGGCGCCAGGGTCGAGATGCAACCCACGACCTCTTGCATACCAGGCAAGGGAGTTAACATCTCGCCGCCGTAGCGCAGAGATCGCAAACGGGTTTTGATTCCTTACCCGTACCCGTACCCGGCCGCACCAGGGTCGCAAATGGGTACCCGTACCCGGCCGGGTACCCGTTCCTTACCCGTACCCTACCCGAAATGAGTGACAAACAGTTACTCACCAGTGACTCATGGCTACTCACCAGTGACTCACGGCCTACCCGTACCCGGCCGCACCAGGGTCGCATACGGGTAGCCGGGTATCGGGTAGGGTACGGGTATCCGGTTGCGACCTCTGCCGTAGCGCCCCGTGGAAGCGATCGCCGTGCAGCTCGCGATTCTCACGGCCCGTGTGGGGTGTGGGGGGGGCAACACGCACCTTCTCCAGGTGCACGGTGACGGTGCTGCCGTCCTCCAGGAGCCAGCTACTCTCCTCCATTTTCACATCGGCCTGCAGCTCGCCGTCCACGATGGGCGGCTGCCCCTTGAGCCCCACGCGCAGATGGCGCCGTGCGATCTCCACCACCACGTCACGACCTTTCGCCCGGAAGTTCGCCTTCAGTGGCAAAATAATCTGCAACGGAGCAACCGATTTTAGTTATGTAATGCCATCCCGTTTAACTGAACGGGAGATTTTTTTTTATAGCTAATTAGCCCGTTTCACGTGCCGCCACCACCGCACGTACATCGACTTCCGACAAAGTCTGCGTCCAGCGGTAGTTGGGCAGGTCGGCGCCGTTGCCAACGTTGGGCTTCAGCTTGCCCTTGTCCTTCTCATCCTCTTCCTCATCCTCCTTATCGGGAGCTGGCTCCACCTGCAAAAGACAAAGATGTCCCCACGTATGGCCTTTAAAAAACTGTTGGGGCAAGTGTTTGTTAGCGAGCATCTAATTAATGCCGACACGGACACACGAGGGAGTGTGTGGCTAACATTGTTCCCGGCAGCCTGCTTCCCCAATGCTGATGTTTAAACACCGCATTAGACTCCTAAAATGTTGAAATATTCCCCACTGTTATTGGTCGTGAGCGGAAATCGAACTCTGGTTACGGGTGTTGCAAGCGCAGTGCGCTTACAACTACGCCACTGCTCTTCACCTCCGTCTGCGTACACACACATGCCAGAAACACATTTTATTTTTCATCACTTTTAACTCGGCCTATGATCATTCCTTCCAGGGTTGTCCTATGGATATAATCGCTCCCCGCCATAGGTGTACAGACTAATATTTGCTCTCTGTTACACACGGTGTGTGTGTATATATTTACGAGTAAACCATTGGTACATTTACACGTGTCATCCATACTTCGATCGATGTCGCTAAAAAGCCTATTTGTCAAAAGCGACATGCGACCTCAACACAGCACCGCCGAGCGATGTGTAAACAAACACCCTTTGTTATCGCCACCTTTGCTGGAGCCTCTTCTTTGTCGCTGGGTTTTTCCGCACTCTCCTCGCCATTCTTTTGCTGCTCCTTTTTCTGCGACGCGCGCACATACACGGGGGAAATGTCAGGGCGCGTGAATCTTCTTTCCTCCAGAAAACCTGGATTTTAAATCCGGGGTTCCAAAAAAACGTTGAGAAATAGAAATTTATTGGAGGGGGGGGGGGGTAAAAATGTAAACATTTGCAGGAAAAGGCTGAAATTAATTTGTATTAGGAATAGCAAATGGCTGCCTCATAACCATACATTACGACACCAAGTGTCATTTTGACCCATAATCTTAAATATATTGGTGGGGGAAGAAGATTTTTATTTTTTATTTATAACTTTTTTCTGTGTTTAATTTGTTGTCCTTCCCCACACTTCCGATTAGCACGGTTGGCTATGTACTGCGTGAAAGAAGTTCAACATGCATACAAATCTGGTGTCCCCCCTGTTCTTAATTTCCACTGTCTCTCCGTGATCGTAGTGGTGGCTGGGATGGCAAAGCTCCTGCTCGAGTGTTTCCGGCGTCATGAGAAGGCAGCGCTGGCCGGGGAGCGTTAGGGGCAGCAGATAAATTCGGTCATGATCGAGACATGCGGAGAGAGGGAAACGGTCATAAGCTGACATTTTGGATGGTATCATTCTCCACAGACACCTGAAGTGCCATTTTCGCGAAGTGTATCAATATAATGTATGAAGCATCAAGACTGTGCGCTTTATTGGCGAGGTTGGCAAATCCTTTTGCACCATGGCGGATCCAGCTTCTGAATGTGTTTTTTTAGTCCATTCATGCAGAGTGAAGCGTTCAATCGCCTTCAGTTCCCTTTCCAGCGCAGCGTGTGAACCCTTCTGCTGTGGCATCGTCAATGCAAGAACCGATCAATCAATAAATCTTTATTTTGTGACAATATCACCCTCAACAAAGTAGGCATCAGTGCACATTACGCACGTATGTTGGACTTCTTTCGCACTGTACATAGCCAACCCTGCTAATCGGAGGTATTATTGCAGTAATGCTGCGTTTTATGTCAGGGATGCGTTCCCGAAAGGTGCGACGATGAATATCGACACGACGCGAATCAAAGCGATGTGCAGGGTAGGTGATGGAGGTGAAGGCTGAGAGGCGACGGATACGGGAGAGGACGGGCGATGATGCTGCTGTTAGCGACGTAAGCGTGGGGTTGAGGGGACGCACCAGGGGCATAGAAAATGAAAAAATAAACCCGTCACCGTATGACAGAAACGCAGACCAAACTCAAATTTCGATTTAAAGCTTTCGTGACTGCAGGGATTCATCTTCTTGGTTCTTTCGGTAAAGTCACGTAGAAGGGAAATAATAAAATAATAAAAATAAAACATAATAAAATACAATTCTCATCGACGTTTAGGGCCACAACGCAAGCAGCCGTCCTCAGGTGAAGAACAGGTCTGTCGGAAAGACAGCGTCTTTCCGACAGACCTGTTCTTCACCTGTTCTTGACCTGAGGACAGATCTGCTTGCGTTGTGGCCAAAACATTGTGAGAATTGTATTTTATGTTTTCTTTTTTATATTTTATTATTTCCCTTCTACGTGACTTTACCGAAAGAACCAAGAAGACAAACTCAAATTGTAATAGTTTAAGATATTAAAACACGGTTTTTATATCGCAGTGTTTATATCAAAACTCATTAAAAAGCACGTTAAAGCAACTGCCCCTTGCGAAAGATATTCCAATTGTTTAAAGATCTCCAGGAGGAAACACAATGGATACAAATGCAACCAATGTGTGCGTATAAAGGAAATAAACCACGTTTATTGACTTGCTACCAATAATTATATTCTTGAAGAAATTCATTTGATATAATAATACAATATCTATAGTTACATAATTTCAAAAGGGATTCAAAGTGATATCTGCAAGGGGAATTCTCATGAACTAAACGATTTCTCGAATGCTACTTAACTCGAGGGCACCTTAGGCTCAATGCTGTAATAATGAGAGCTTTTCTGAGCATTCAGCACCAGTGTCATCGAATTGTTAAGTATCTATTAACCCTTCAAGGCCCTGGCAATTTGCTAGATGTGTTTACATATCGCAATCGGTTATTTATTCCAGAGTTGTGCTATTTTTGGCTCTGAATGCCAAGGTTTCTCAAGATTTCCACATCGCAGAATTTATTAATTAAATGCCACTGCCATGCTCCCTCCTTTGGCTGCCACTCCATCATCAGTTTGGACCTCCAGCCATCATCCCTTAAGACGACGAGTCCACTTGTCTTCACAATTCGTCTAACTTGTGCATTTTCTCTAATCCATGCACGTTCCGTTTTCCATCTCTCCGTGTGATGCCAGGCATTCACATTTCCATGCTTCTTTGTGCATTTATCAGTTTTTGGTAAAAAAAAAAGTGTCAATGCTAACTTTAATTTTTATCTATATGCTGTAGCAAATCATCTTCCGAAACAATGAATTTTCATCAGCGGGTTCTGCTTCCCGAAAGCACTCTCACCTGTGCATGTTCAACTTCATTCGCACTGTACGTAGGCAACTATGCCAAACCGAGGTGCTGCTATTACCTGCCTCATAGTGTCATCATTTTGATCGGTGTTAACATTCAAACCGGTCCAAGGTATGCATATCGTGTTGCGCTTTTAATTTGTGTTCTTCCGACAGATTTACACCTGTCAAAATAACTGGTTGATTGTACGTGACTATTGCTTTGGCTCATTTACCATGGGTACTACAATTTGCGGTGTTCTATTGCCATTGAATATTTATACGAGTAAGAAACTCAAGAGCTTGAAATATTTTGTTCATTTATATTCATGCCTTTTGTTTCTGTCAATCCAGTTTCAGAAAACATCCTCCAATGTCGGTGTGAATTATTTTGGCGAAACATGCCACCTTTCCCGATTGCCTTTGTAATACGCATTGTCCTTTTTTCATGCATCTAAAATTAGCCGTCCAATTTTTATGTTTTTTTTAACTTTTAAACATTGTCATGGTTTGATCATGGCATGGCAAACAGCCAATGAAAAACCAGCCGTATCGTAAGGCCCCCGCACTAGTTTGGGGCGTGCCAGTGAAAAAAGGGCTATGAAGGTACGTGTTGCTGGTGCAAAGATTCCAGAATTATGGCAGCGTATCGGGGACTATGAGCATAGAAAAACATGTTTCCAAGCAAACAGCCTACACGGCTGTCTTTAAGTATGATGCTTAAATCTTATATATGCCGATGAGAAAGGGCAAAAACGATAACAGGATGTAATACATAGCATCCAGTCATCTCAAAATAACTTCCTTTTAATTTCTACCATGGCAATTTAAATTAGTTCAAATGGGACTCGGCACTCTGCCCCTTTCCAACAGCACAACAACCATCATTCACGGTCGATTCATTAAATCGTGGAGAGACTGGACCCCCGTCACATAAACACAGAGTTTCCACTACTCTGGAAAAAGAACAAGGACTGCTCCTGATTTCCCAGCACTTGGCACATAACCTTGGGCACGAGGCAGGCCAATGACCAACTGTGACCTAACCTAATGTTAATGAAAGTAAAAAAAAACACCACGATGCCAGGACCTTCTGGAAGATTTCCCAACTGCCATCTGTCCTCGTCAACACCAGCACAACAAACAGGCTCTCAACTTGAATTCTAGATTTGAAGCTTTCGTGACTGCAAGGATTCATATTCTTAGGTTGTTTCGGTAAAGTCACGTAGGTAAAAAAATTAAAATTAATAAAAGTAGAGTAAAAATAAAATAAAAATCACGACGTTTCGGAGGCAAGACAAGCTTCCGTCTTCAGGTAGAACCGTCACAGCACGATAGCTGTATCAAGTAAGGCTCTCAACTTTAAGTATAGAGCGCGTTGAAAGACGGCCAAAAACAACACATTCAACACTGCTCTCCGAGACGGAGAACACCTTTTTTAAAAAATCAATAATATAATTGGGTGAAAGGTTAGCTAAGTATTGGGCTGTCACGTCATACAAATGCCACCAGGAATCGGCTGATAACAGATTAGGAGTCGAGGTTCAAAGCAATAAAGAAATAAAATTTAATCAATAAGTTTTCTGCGGAGAAGAATTGAGAGCCACAGTTTCAAAGGTTTTTTTGAAGGTCATGTAATTACAGTAAAACAAAGACACAAACAGCCTGTGAAAATATATTTATCATTTTTAAAAATCAGATGGTTTGTTTTTAATGATAAAAAACACATGATCAGCTCATGTGACTTTCTCCAGTCCCATCGTAGAGATCCTCTGGGCAGGTGAAGTTGTGTTGGCTGGGTCATGCAGCCCTCCCATACCGAAGCCACTTTTAGTTGACGGGATAGAGGGGGCTAAACGGGAGTGGCATGGGCCAAGGAAATGAGCTGATGTGATACAGGAGGATGTTGAGCTTGGAGGACTTGCCGATGACTGGTAATGCCGTGTCAAGACCGGCCTCTCTGAAGGAGGCTCGTGAAGGATGCTATTGCAAGGCTGGAGACATTCACCCTCCAGCAACAATAGGATGGCGGAGAAACACTCACAACAATGAGCATCGGGCGGCTAAAGCGCAGCAAGGTGGCAGTCAGGAGCACTAGTGGCACATCTTGCCAGTCATTTAGATTGACCTCTAACACCTGGGTCTGTGCCATAAGCTACTGCCGGTTAGCCTTCGACACTTCACGGGGCCTCAAAGCACACTTGGTCGTGGCACAAATGCTGTTGCAGCATCACCGTCCACCTTGTAGGGAACGGTGGTTGTGTGTTCACGTGCATCCGACCTGGCTCTCACCTGGTCAATCTCACGCTGGATTCTCTGCGCCTCCTCGTCCGTCACCTCCTGTATGCGGGGCTCCTTAGCCTGGGCATCGTCCTGCTGCTCCTGCTGCTGCCGTCGCCGCGTGCGCTCCTCTGTGTCGCGGCGCTGCCGTTCCTCGCGTTCCCGCGCACGTTCACGCTCCCCGGCCAGCGCCGCCTTCTCATGACGCCGGAAACACTCGAGCAGGAGCTGTGACACCCCATCCACCACCACCACGATCACGGGGAGGACAGTGGAAATTAAGAACAGGGCAGACACCAGATTTGCATGTGTGTTGAACTTCTTTCGCACCGTACGTAGCCAACCGTACTAATCAGAGGTGTGGGGAAGAACAACAAACTAAACACAAAAAGCAGTTCTTAAGAAATTACTTTTCATTCTAGATTAAAGAATGCATAACTCCAGTGGATTTCTAAAATTAGAAGAGCATTCCAGTCGGCCGCAAAACCATCTTTGTTCGATGGCTAGCCAAAAGCCACTGCGAGGATGACCGGAGTCTGTGTGATGGTTCATGCTCCTTGACGAGATCCGCAAAGTATTGTGGTTCATTTGTGGCGAGCACTTTGTGTGTAATGAGTGCGACCATATCATGTAATATTGCGTATGGTAACATGTTCAGGAGATAAATGCCAGATTTTACACTGAACAAAGCCAATTCAGCTTGTGCTCAAAAGGCAGTCCTCAAAATGTTATGAATCTCTCGTGTTGAGCTCCACTGCAACTCGTTTTGAGGCCACTAGAGTTGAGCATGCTCCATTAATCTTTTGAACAGGAGGTAAATGGCTGTATGAGCCATTCAAAAATACGAAGGACGCAGCATCACAGCAATGCCCAGCTACTCCTGATGCAATCATCTAAATCAACCACCCCAACAATGCAACATAACAGTTATTTCTCTCTGCAACACCAGTCACACGAAGAAGATTAAATCAAACTCTTTAATTGACTCAACTCCACCACACATTTTCTTACAATTAATCTCTTGTAATTGTGTTGATTCACCAATTTATCTTTTGTGAACTCAATTCAATAAATCCAGGGCCGAGTGGGAACATTTAATCACACCCGCAACGTCACCACAAACCCATCATTAAAAACAGCCCGGCACAGCTTTGAAGTGAAATCGTAAAATAATTATCGCAGGAAAAGTGAAGTAATTAAGCGAGCTGTCTTAGTCACCACATAATTTATTCAGTGATGTGATGTGCAGCCTGTGAGAGTAAGGGACTGCAGTGGTGGCGTCTGTGCTGTAAGCCACACGTGACGTGTGCATCTGTTCCTTTATTATCAGTTGCTCAGCACAGGCGCCAAAAGCCCCGTAACACTCAGCGACCAGCAACAAACAGCACTACTTAAGGTGTAATAGATGACAATAGGAAAAGCATTTCATCAGATTATTTCTCTCGTCGCTCTTCTGAATATAGCTCGCTCCTGTAGCTATCAATAAATATTACTACATTAACACGTTGGCTTTCGCGACCAATATCATATATAATAAAGGCTTTTTAGGATAGACCGTGTAAATATAAATGTGTCATTAAACCCGACACCACCCAACACAGCCAATACGTAAGATGCGTCACGTAAACGGAACATGCCAATTCGTTGCGAGTGTACATTTACAATTTTGTGGATTTGCTTTCCAACACACGGTGTGCTGTGCTATTGTAGTGGATACAAATTGGAGGGAGACTTCTCTGGAGGCAACACGTTTATTTAACAATAAACGATACAGAACACGAAGGGGTTACGGCCTCTTCCACCCGCTACCCCAGGGAGGTACGTCCTCCTCACTGGCATGCCCTATACACTGGGCACTAGCCACTATAGAGTCCTCTGGCTATCGGGGCCTAGGGAGGCTACACTGACCCGACCCAGGCAAGATCCAGCTCCGGCTCCTAGGTCTTCAGGGTAGGTCTTCAATCTTTAAGTGGACGACAACTGCCGGTCCCGTTCAGGGGTCTGGCTTTTATACCCAGTCCCAGCTCACCCCGCCCCTAACCACTCCTCTCTTCTGGAACCTTCTAGAGGAGCTTGGAGTGTGACGTCATCCCCCAGCCCCCTCTTGGGGGTCTGCACCTCTGGTCACGATCCTCCCTGGGTGTTAGCTTGGCCCGACTCATCTGAATCAGCCTATCTTCCGCCCCCTGTTGACACGGGGCCGTGACTACAGGCTACGAGTAGCGGCGATCACACACAGCGCTCAACAATGCCGATACACGAGTAACGAATTGTTATGTTCTGTTTAGGGGAAAAACATCACTAATTGGCTGTCGGGTGGTGGCGGGTTTAAAGACACATTTATATTTACACGATCTAACCCAAAATGAAACCTATATTATGAATATTACATGTTTGTGACACACAGGCTGCGCGTACATTTGCTGCCCCCCAAAGGAGAGAAACGCGTGGACCACACTGGATATGTTACTTTGCCTCACCTTCTCAGCAGCCGGTTTCTCTCCGCCGATAAAGAAGTCAGTTTTTCGTCTCAAAAAGCTAAAAATGGTGTCCAACATCTGCAACAACAGTAGAACAGTGCAGGCATTAATAAAACACACGCTAATTATATACTGATTACTACTAAAACGTAACTTTTTTATCTTACCAGGTAAGGCCTATTGAGCTATATAGATCGGGGCCGTCACAAATGAGAGCTCAACGAAGTGGCGTTATCACGTGGACATTTATCGCAACCAAATACTCTAAACGCGTGTTTCTAAACGTGGAGGAAAAGAACCGGAGAACACTGAGAAAAATCCACGCGACCACGGGGAGAGAGAGAGACACGCAAACTCCAAATACACAGCAGCAGGCGTCTTGGAGTCGGGGTCGAACCCACGGCCTCCTGCACACCAGGCGAGGGAGTTAACATCTCCTAGCCACTGCGATGATGATGAGAGAGAGCGAGAGACACGCAAACTCCAAATACACAGCAGCAGGCGTCAGGAGTCGGGGTCGAACCCACGACCTCCTGCATACCAGGCGAGGGAGTTAACATCTCCTAGCCACTGCGATGATGATGAGAGAGAGTGAGAGACACGCAAACTCCAAATATACAGCAGCAGGCGTAAGGAGTCGGGGTCGAACCCACCGCCTCCTGTATACCAGGCGAGGTAGTTAACATCTCCTAGCCACCAAACGTGATCATAGATGAACGCAGCGGTTCCAGTAATTGGACATGTGTGCAAAGCATTGTCAGTAAAGCCTTACATGGGTAACACTTATCTTCGGGGTAGACAGGATACCCCGTTTACCGGTTCACTTTAATTAATGTGATTTTCCCAACGTCTCTCTCCCGCTCCCCGTCATCATCCCTTTGCATTATCTGCGCCCCACAGCTCACAACCAGCGAACAGTTTAACTGTTACTGATGTAAATGTTTTTACTGGTAGGAACCTCCTGGTTACACCAGCCCACAGAGGATTATTGTGTCCGTCCGTCGTGCATCCAAAAATGGGAGGGGTGGGGCTGGGTGGAGAGGGGAGGGTGGGGAGGGGCTGGGTGGGGGGTGGGAGGGGTGGGGCAGGGTGGGGAGGGGAGGGTGGGGAGGGGTCTGGATGGGTGGTGAGGGTGGGGAGGGGCTGGGTGGGGGGTGGGAGGGGAGGGGCGGGGTGGGGTGGGAGGGGTGGGGAGGGGTCTGGATGGGTGGTGAGGGTGGGGAGGGGCTGGGAGGGGAGGTGGGGACGGGCTGGGTGGGGCTGGGTGGGGAGGGTGGGGCTGGGTGGGGAGGTGGGGAGGGGCTGGGTGGGGAGGGTGGGGCTGGGTGGGGAGGGGCTGGTCACCCGTGGTGCCCTTATAAAACTCAACGTTTAACCTACTCACGCCGGCTTGTGCCCGCCCTCACAGTCGAGAATATTTGCAAAATACACCACGCCGCCGTTGACCCTGGCCATTGGCCGAGCAACCCAACGTTCCTACCAGCTCCCTCCGCAGGAATGTGTTTTAAGTTAATAATGTAATCTATAATAATACAGGGAGGGTTTGTTTGGAGAGCTGCAACTCCTGTTGAGGCCACCAGAGTAGAGCAATGCTCCCATCAATATAACTGTGAATATTTAATTTTTGAATTAAAGCTTTCGTGACTGCAGGGATTCATATTCTTGATTCTTTCAGTAAAGTCACGTAGAAGGGAAATAATAAAATAATGTTTTATATTTTTATTATTTCCCTTCTACGTGACTTTACCAAGGATGTGAATATTTTAGTCAAGTCATTGTCTTACTGTATTCTATAATTCGATGTTGTATGTATCACCATTACTGTTACAAAGTCAATACGTTAATATCGATCCATAACAGACTTGAGAGAGCAAGCATATGAAATCCCCACTACGGATCGCAAACGTAGCCGCCACGGAATAATCGAGAAGTAGTTGCCGATTTTTGTGGTCGAACGTCCCAGGATACGTCGCGCCGTGTAATACAGAAGCACGGACGCATGCCTCGTCGCCTGGATCGTAAACACGGCGGCTTTAACAACACAAGAGGAACAAAAAACGGTGAAAACGACGAGGTATATGGCGGTGAAAATGCATTCTTGACGGAGCGTATCTACACTGGGAAATTCACTCCGCGGCTCCAGGACGCGTGGCCGCCGCCGCCTCCTCTCACTCGACAACCTCCTCATCTCTCGTCTATCCTCCTCGTCGTCTCCCCACCACCTCCTCCACCTCCTCCTCACCTGCTGCACGCCGCCATCGTGCTCCTGCGCCATGGCCAGGAGGATGCCATCGAAGCGAATATCGTCGCTCGCCGCCATGACGACCACGCGCTTCCTTCACCCCGGATGCACAAAGAAAGCCCCGCCCCCTCTTCCAGAAGAGACCACGCCGCTTCTTCCTCTTCCAGAAGAGACCCCCCCTCTTCCTCTTCCAGAAGAGAACCCACCTAACTTCCTCTTCCAGAAGAAAACCCGCCTCTCTTCCTCTTCCAGAAGACGCTCCACCCTCTTCCAGAAGAAACCTCCCCTTCTTCCTCTACCAGAAGAAGCTCCACCCCTCTTCCTCTTCCAGAAGGTGGCACAGGGGATAATTTGCACTACCGGCTGCACCTTCCAGAAGTTGGCACAGGGGATAATTTGCACTACCGGTTTCACCTTCCAGAAGTTGGCACAGGGGATAATTTGCACTACCGGTTTCACCTTCCAGAAGGTGTCACAGGGGATAATTTGCACTACCGGCTGCACCTTCCAGAAGTTGGCACAGGGGATAATTTGCACTACCGGTTTCACCTTCCAGAAGTTGGCACAGGGGATAATTTGCACTACCGGTTTCACCTTCCAGAAGGTGTCACAGGGGATAATTTGCACTACCGGCTGCACCTTCCAGAAGGTGGCACAGGGGATAATTTGTACTACCGGTTTCACCTTCCAGAAGGTGGCACAGGGGATAATTTGCACTACCGGCTGCACCTTCCAGAAGTTGGCACAGGGGATAATTTGCACTACCGGCTGCACCTTCCAGAAGTTGGCACAGGGGATAATTTGCACTACCGGTTTCACCTTCCAGAAGTTGGCACAGGGGATAATTTGCACTACCGGTTTCACCTTCCAGAAGGTGTCACAGGGGATAATTTGCACTACCGGCTGCACCTTCCAGAAGGTGGCACAGGGGATAATTTGTACTACCGGTTTCACCTTCCAGAAGGTGGCACAGGGGATAATTTGCACTACCGGCTGCACCTTCCAGAAGTTGGCACAGGGGATAATTTGCACTACCGGCTGCACCTTCCAGAAGTTGGCACAGGGGATAATTTGCACTACCGGTTTCACCTTCCAGAAGTTGGCACAGGGGATAATTTGCACTACCGGTTTCCCCTTCCAGAAGGAGGCACAGGGGATAATTTGCACTACTGGTTGCACCTTCCAGAAGTTGTTACAGGGGATAATTTGCACTACCGGTTTCACCTTCCAGAAGTTGGCACAGGGGATAATTTGCACTACCGGCTGCACCTTCCAGAAGTTGGCACAGGGGATAATTTGCACTACCGGTTTCACCTTCCAGAAGTTGGCACAGGGGATAATTTGCACTACCGGTTTCACCTTCCAGAAGGTGTCACAGGGGATAATTTGCACTACCGGCTGCACCTTCCAGAAGGTGGCACAGGGGATAATTTGTACTACCGGTTTCACCTTCCAGAAGGTGGCACAGGGGATAATTTGCACTACCGGCTGCACCTTCCAGAAGTTGGCACAGGGGATAATTTGCACTACCGGCTGCACCTTCCAGAAGTTGGCACAGGGGATAATTTGCACTACCGGTTTCACCTTCCAGAAGTTGGCACAGGGGATAATTTGCACTACCGGTTTCCCCTTCCAGAAGGAGGCACAGGGGATAATTTGCACTACTGGTTGCACCTTCCAGAAGTTGTTACAGGGGATAATTTGCACTACCGGTTTCACCTTCCAGAAGTTGGCACAGGGGATAATTTGCACTACCGGTTTCCCCTTCCAGAAGGAGGCACAGGGGATAATTTGCACTACTGGTTGCACCTTCCAGAAGTTGTTACAGGGGATAATTTGCACTACCGGTTTCACCTTCCAGAAGTTGGCACAGGGGATAATTTGCACTACCGGTTTCACCTTCCAGAAGGTGTCACAGGGGATAATTTGCACTACCGGCTGCACCTTCCAGAAGTTGGCACAGGGGATAATTTGCACTACCGGTTTCACCTTCCAGAAGTTGGCACAGGGGATAATTTGCACTACCGGTTTCACCTTCCAGAAGGTGTCACAGGGGATAATTTGCACTACCGGCTGCACCTTCCAGAAGGTGGCACAGGGGATAATTTGTACTACCGGTTTCACCTTCCAGAAGGTGGCACAGGGGATAATTTGCACTACCGGCTGCACCTTCCAGAAGTTGGCACAGGGGATAATTTGCACTACCGGCTGCACCTTCCAGAAGTTGGCACAGGGGATAATTTGCACTACCGGTTTCACCTTCCAGAAGTTGGCACAGGGGATAATTTGCACTACCGGTTTCACCTTCCAGAAGGTGTCACAGGGGATAATTTGCACTACCGGCTGCACCTTCCAGAAGGTGGCACAGGGGATAATTTGTACTACCGGTTTCACCTTCCAGAAGGTGGCACAGGGGATAATTTGCACTACCGGCTGCACCTTCCAGAAGTTGGCACAGGGGATAATTTGCACTACCGGCTGCACCTTCCAGAAGTTGGCACAGGGGATAATTTGCACTACCGGTTTCACCTTCCAGAAGTTGGCACAGGGGATAATTTGCACTACCGGTTTCCCCTTCCAGAAGGAGGCACAGGGGATAATTTGCACTACTGGTTGCACCTTCCAGAAGTTGTTACAGGGGATAATTTGCACTACCGGTTTCACCTTCCAGAAGTTGGCACAGGGGATAATTTGCACTACCGGCTGCACCTTCCAGAAGTTGGCACAGGGGATAATTTGCACTACCGGTTTCACCTTCCAGAAGTTGGCACAGGGGATAATTTGCACTACCGGTTTCACCTTCCAGAAGGTGTCACAGGGGATAATTTGCACTACCGGCTGCACCTTCCAGAAGGTGGCACAGGGGATAATTTGTACTACCGGTTTCACCTTCCAGAAGGTGGCACAGGGGATAATTTGCACTACCGGCTGCACCTTCCAGAAGTTGGCACAGGGGATAATTTGCACTACCGGCTGCACCTTCCAGAAGTTGGCACAGGGGATAATTTGCACTACCGGTTTCACCTTCCAGAAGTTGGCACAGGGGATAATTTGCACTACCGGTTTCCCCTTCCAGAAGGAGGCACAGGGGATAATTTGCACTACTGGTTGCACCTTCCAGAAGTTGTTACAGGGGATAATTTGCACTACCGGTTTCACCTTCCAGAAGTTGGCACAGGGGATAATTTGCACTACCGGTTTCCCCTTCCAGAAGGAGGCACAGGGGATAATTTGCACTACTGGTTGCACCTTCCAGAAGTTGTTACAGGGGATAATTTGCACTACCGGTTTCACCTTCCAGAAGTTGGCACAGGGGATAATTTGCACTACCGGTTTCCCCTTCCAGAAGTTGGCACAGGGGGTAATTTGCACTACCGGTTTCCCCTTCCAGAAGTTGGCACAGGGGATAATTTGCACTACCGTCTTCACCTTCCAGAAGTTGTCACAGGGGTTAATTTGCACTACCGGTTTCCCCTTCCAGAAAATAGCAGAGGGGTTAATTTTCTCCACCCTCTTCTTCTTCCAGCAAACACCGCAATGTTAAGTAGCTCTCCATCTTCCCCTTCCAGAAGAGCGAGCCCAACAGTCAGGCACGTTCAAGTTCAAGTTCATGTATTAGGTATAGCCCTGTGAGCCATTCGGCTCTTGAATCGGGTGCAACCGCAACAAACAAAAAACAAAAACACGAACAAAAAACATCTTAAATGAATATGTGACTGAGTGCAAACAGAAAATCCAAGAAACACGTGACGTTGTTTTCTCAACTAAAATTAACCCTCCCATTGCCCTACCCGATTACAGACCAATTCAGATCTTCGTGGTCACCCCGTGCTCTTATAAATCTCAGCGTTCATCCTACAAAGTCCCATCACAAGGGAGAAACACAAATAGACGAAAAAACGTTGCCCGTATTGAAACGGCTGTACATCGTATGGAACTGAAAACTCAATTTCCCTGTACAAGAATACGGATAACCCGTATGGGTTGGCAGGTCATCTGTCTCGCTCAAGTAGTTGCAGAAAGTACGTCGGGAGTTTCACTTCAGAGGTGGATAGGGTTCATGTAGTTTGTCCAAAACCTCGGCCACCAGTGATGAGTCTGGCACGGATGCCAGCCAGGGTCTTGGAGGCCGTCCATAAATGACGTCACGCGATTTTAGACGATTTTTGACCCCCCCCCCCTCGTCACACGGCGTCACAAAAAGTCAGACCCCCCCTCTCTCAAATATGACGTCACAAAGCTCTGCCCCCCCCCCAAAAAAATAAAACATGCTTCAAATCGCTTTAGACTATTATAATTGTAGTGCGTATTTAATGTGGCGCTGCACTCCGATGTTGTAGGAGTGTTGTTATAACAATTAGTGTTATAACAATTCTATATTTATTTAAAGTTGCGCATTTTGATGTGACGTCACATTTCTCAACCCCCCCCCCCTCGTCACACATCGTCACAAATGTCTGACCCCCCCGCCCCCCAGGTGCGGGACGTCATTTATGGACGGCCCCCAAGGTCGAGCGGTAGCTTCAGTGCTGCCTCGGCGAGACTCGCTACGTTTCTCACCATCGCCATAACTAGCTGGCTAGGAGATGTTAACTACCTCACCTGGTATGAAGGAGGTCGTGGGTTCAATCCCGACCCTGACGCCTGCTGCTGTATATTTGGTGTATGCATGTTCGCCCCGTGATCTCGTGGATTTTTCTCCGGGTCCTCCGGTTTTTTGTTCACTCCACATTTAGAAACATGCGCTTAGAGTGTTTGGCTGAAGTCCACTCCACTCCCGTGGCTTCCTGTGTTGGTGTGAGGACGTGACGATTCGGAAATACAAGATCATGGAAAATTTCGCTCTGTCGCTCCATCAAGACATAACGGAACCCCCACGCCCAAGAATTATATCCAAGAAGCCTTTCTGGATACGCGCCTCCGCCGTGGCAGCTGAAAAAAAGACACTTCGATTTAAAGCTTTCGTGACTGCAGGGATTCATCTTCTTGGTTCTTTCGGTAAAGTCACGTAGAAGGGAAGTAATAAAATAATAAAAATAAAACATAATTAAATAATTCTCACGACGTTTCGGCCACAACGCAAGCAGCCATCCTCAGGTGAAGACCAGGTCTGTCGGGGAGACAGCGTCTGAATGAACGCTGTCTCCCCGACAGACCTGGTCTTCACCTGAGGACGGCTGCTTGCGTTATGGCCGAAACGTCGTGAGAATTATTTTATTATGTTTTATTATTTTATTACTTCCCTTCTACGTGACTTTACCGAAAGAACCAAGAAGAAGAAAAATAAAGACACTGGCACTCGATGGCCTTGAAGGGTGGACGGCTACGAACGTGGCAAACGAGAACATCATTGAGGACCCGTCCGTGGATGTGCCGGGATTCTCTCTCTCACGACGGCTGTGGACCGCACTGAGCCGCGCTCGGACGAAGCTTGGGAGATGTGAGGCGTACACGTTCCATAAATGGAAAATCTTCTATGGGGCCGTCCATAAATGACGTCACGCGATTTTGGACGATTTTTGACCCCCCCCCCCCCCCTTCGTCATCACACGGCTTCGCAAAAAGTCAGACCCCCCCTTAAATATGACGTCACAAAGCTCTGCCCCCCCCCCCCAAAATGAAACATGCTTCAAATCGCTTTAAACGATTGTCATTGTAGTGTGTATTTAATCTGGCGCTGCACTCTGATGTAGGAGAAAACATTTATTAAAAGTCTATTTAATTAAGTAGAACTTGTTGTCTATATTTATTTAAAGTTGAGCATTTTGATGTGACGTCACATTTTTCAAACCCCCCACCCCATCGTCACACATCGTCACAAATGTCTGACCCCCCCCCCCCCCAAGATGCGTGACGTCATTTATGAACGGACCATTATATCCTCTGTGGCGGGGCTGGCTCCGCCCTTATCCACGACCACCTTCTCGAACCCTCGAGCAGGATCTCGTCCCTGACACGTGACCACGCCTAGCCCCCACCTGGGGCCCCTGTGTAGACTTTACCGGTCACGTGTCCTCTCGGGTCAACCAGAGTGCCATGGCCTATAGTAACCCCATTCCCTTGGCCGGCACCCTGACACCCCATCCTGTAGGGGTCGGCACTGCACGCAGAGCGTGGTGCCATCCAGCACTGCCAGTCAGTGCTCACCGAGCCCCTCTAGGCCCCCACGTGTACGTGGTGCCCGCGATGACGAGCATTGCACGGTGACATCCGCTATGTCACTACACTTACATGCCATCGGAAAGACGAGTATTTGGCTATTGATTTTCGCATAAGCCACTTCGTTGAGCTGTCATTTGTGGCCAGGTCGCATCTGAAAAAGAGTTATACAGTATAGCTCAGTGGGCCTTACCTGGTAAAATAAAAAAAAGTTTTAGTTTATAGTTTAACTCGACTTGCGGTCAACTTACACTACGGCTCGGGGTAGAACTTTCCGCAGCAGAGTGACTCACAACGACCCTCCTCTACACCAAGGACCAAGAACATTGTCGCTGCTGGGCGTCGTTTCTCCGTGGCGATTCCCTGCCGTCTGGAACGTGGCCATCGTCCTCACTGCACGTTTGCAGCAGCAGCAGCAGCAGCGTTAAATCCACTCCGACTTTTAAGAGACACTTAAAAGGCCCCCACCTCTCTCGCCTGGCTATGGAGCGACACCTGCCTCAGAGTAACGGTCATTTATGTCCATGGAATATCACGTGTATTACAAATTTGCACTTAAATTGCTTTTTTTACAAACGATATGGCCTAGTCTTAAAACACAAGCCATCTGAAGGGCTCAAACTAGGACCTGACCGCATGCCCACAAACCATTCGCTTTATTTTTAGGGTTCGGCTGCTTCCGAAACGAGCCACAAACACACCGTTTACCAGCTTGGATTCTGTGGCCAGAAAAGCAACTCTTTTTTGTGGTTCTGATGAAACAGCAACACGTGTACAATGCTGTTTTGATAAAAGTCCGAGTCGAGTCAAAGTGTCTTTCTGCTGATCTGAGCAAAAAAGCAACACTCCTCTCCGCTGGTGGCCACGATCCAGTGGTGGAGATTCCTCGTTCCTGCGAGTTCGTTCATTGTCTGGAGGTCGTTATCGGCACTCAGTGATTCCTCTGGGCAGCTGTTTTCCAGTTCTCAAGGTGTAGGCATTCCCCTTTCTATGTTATCAACCCCTCAGTAATCTTCTTTACTCTGACCTCGACTTCATTACCCTTACATTTTACATAGCATGGCCAATATTTCCGTGTTGTCTCCATGTCATCTAGTTACAAGCCATACATATTCTTGACTTCCTCATGATTTATTATGTTTAAGACGCTATCTGGGCGTCCTGTTTGCACCGGCACAAAAAGGTTGCTTTCATTCAACAAAATTCGCAGCAAACGCCCCTCCAGCACTACATCACCATCTCCTGCGAAAACCTGGCAGGACCCTCCTGGGAAAGAGTCATGAGACTCAGTGCGAGGCTTCCTGGTTAAACAAGCGTCATGATAAAACAACACAAAAATTCACACGTATTAATAATGTTGTGTTCCATGTCTGTTTTTATTAAGGAACCAGGTCTCACATCGGTAAAGTGCGATCGGGAATACTTGTTAAACCATGTTTGCACAAGAGATAAAACAGTTCCGACTTGCCTTCCTATAAAATCTAAAATCGAAGGGGGGGGGGGTGGGAAACGCTTTCTTTACTTATTATTTATATTTACTACTTTTCGTATACTATTTGTGCGCGGTTGCAATTTATTTTGCTCAGTCGGTGTTAGCCACTGAGGTCGTGACGTGTTTCTTTTCTCATTTCTGTTGCCCCATGCCCCCTGTATCGTTTTCGATCTGTTGTAATGTGCCCTCATGCCTACTTTTTTGAGGGTGATATGGGCACGTATAATAATTAATTAATTGACGATCAGCAGTGCCACGGCTGATCTTGTCATCCACAGCCTTCTTTGAATCTACTGCTTCCACCATTGTTCATTGTGCATGATCCAATCAAATGGAATTCAGTAGATTTGAAGCTTTCGTGACGGCAAGGATTCATACTCTTAGGTTCTTTCGGTAAAGTCACGTAGGTAAAAATAAATAATAAAAGCAATAGAAATAATAATAGAATTAAAATAATTATTTCTAAATAAATCAGCAACCACACATCATAGCAGGGAGTAAAACTACTACTGAATTCCATACTCGTAGGTTTTTCCGGTAATAAATAATAATAGAAATAAAATAATTATTTCCACTATTATTTCTATTAGTTTTTATTATTTATTTTTATTATTTATTTTTACCTACGTGACTTTACCGGAAAAACCTAAGAGTATGGAATTCAGTAGTAGTTTTACTCCCTGCTATGATGTTTGGTTGCTGATTACTTCCAATCTCCATGACTTGCCTTTGCCACACTCGTAAACAGCGCCGCAATCGTCAACTAGGCACTTTCACTCTAGATCAGGTCTTGGACTTGATGACCATTTGTCGTTTGTGTATCGTACATAGTCGCGACCTGGACAGCACGATCAGATCTGGGCACCTTTCATATTCGGTAGATTCATCTTTCAACGCTTCTGGCTAACATGCCCCTCGCCACACCTATTCAACTTGGCATTCAACCGACGCTGTCTGTGCAAAACAATTATCTCGATTATATCATCAGTACGTTAATTACTAACAACAAACGACTTATTTAGTGCAATAAAATGTCTCGTTGGCAAAAACGTATTACTTTAGATGAACAATTGCGCACAGGCTCCTGGAACAGCGCCGTTTCTTTACGCCTGCGAGCACAGCGGCACCCCCGCCGCTAGCTGCGTTTCGCCTTGTGTGTCGGCGCTCTGCTCGGCGTGGCCGCCATCGCGACCAGGGCGCACGCGGCCCCCAGCGCCGTGGGGGCGGCCGCCCCCCCGCAGTGCTGCGCCGCCCCTCCCAGCGCGGGTGCCAGCACCCTGGCGGCCGACGTCACGGCCTGGCCCAGCCCGAGGGTGGCCCCCGCGCCGCCCACGCCGGCGACGCGCAGCTGGCCCTCCGTGAGGACGACGCGGCCCACGGCGCTCGACGCAGAGAGGACCACGGCGCAGGCGGCGGCTCCCGGCAGCCCGGCCGCCCCGGTCGCCAACGCCAGCATGGCGGTGGCCGCCGCCGCGCACGTGACCCGCAGCGTCGCCTCCGGGGAGGGGCCGGCGTCGTAGACGCGGGCGAGCGACGAGGTAGCGGCGCCGGCGGCCGCCGAGAGCGAGACGATCGCCCCCACGAGACGGGGAGGCGCGTCGTGGTGCGTGCGGAGCCACGACGTGAAAGCACCGTGGTGCAGCAGGTACGCGCACGACATGAGGAAGCGCACGGCGTGCAGGCACCGCCCGCGGGACGCCTGCTGCGACGGGTTCTCCTCCTCGTCGTCGTCGTCGTCATCAGGCAAAGGCGTCTCGGTGCCATGCACCTGATCGTCGTCCCGACGAGCCGGAACGTCGTGCGGCATCGCGGTTTCCGCTAGGTGTTTGGCGGCTTGAGCCGAGGTCTGCACCCCTTTCCCAGTCTCCGGGTCGGGGTCGGGTAGGAAGAGGCAGACGATGCCTGAACAAACGTGGGAAATGAAAGTTACTCGGTTGCAATCGAATACGAACGTGCAATGGGCACAAATCCAACAACGGTCAATATTATTTTACCCAAAGGCAGTGGTGGAGACGCGCCTGCAGCAGACGCCGCGATGCGTTACCTGCGTTGATGAGAAACAGCGCCGCGCACAGGAAGGAGAGGACGGCGAACCCCCCTGGCCGCTCGGCGATGAGCCCCGCGCACGCCGGGCCCACGACGAAGCCCAGGCCGCTCACGGCGTTGAACCTCCCGAGCAGCACAGGCCTTCGCTCGCCCGGCGCCGTCACAGACAGTAGCCCCCGGCTCAGAGACTGCGTGTGCTTAGACACACCTGCGTGTGTGTGTGTGAGATCAACAGTGCGGGGAGCGGTATTGTAACTGTTAGCGCTACGCTGCGCAACAAACCAAGCTACCCGAGTTCTATTCCCGCTCCCGGCCAACACCAGTGATGATTATCTGAACCGGTCCTGGGCCTCCCCTCGGTCAACTCAGCCTTAAATGACTGCCTGGTGCAGTGTGTAAACATCACCACTAAGGAGACAAAGGCGTGTCGTGTTGATCTTCATAGGCACTCGCTAACAGCAACTTCCTCCAACAATCTGCTAAGGCTATACGGGGATGTTTGTCTTTTGATCAACACAGTGGCAAGAGGAAATGGTGCACGGCTCAGACACGCCTATGTGTCTTAGCCCAACACAGCGATGTGAAAGTCCATCATGGGAATTTGAATGCACGGATTTGCTGGGCACGTTCATCCTGCTGCGATGAACAAATATCAATGAGGTTGCCTTAAATTGTTTTTTCGAGTCGTTGGGTATTTTTCACTAAACCCTTAAGAATCCTAAATATGACTTAGGTATCTTCTTGGTTCTTTCGGTAAAGTCACGTAGAAGGTAAATAATAAAATAATAAAAATAAAACATAATAAAATACAATTCTCACGACGTTTCGGCCACAACGCAAGCAACGTCTTTCCGACAGACCTGTTCTTCACCTGAGGACGGCTGCTTGCGTTGTGGCCGAAACGTCGTGAGAATTGTATTTTATTATGTTGAATTTTTATTATTTTATTATTTCCCTTCTACGTGACTTTACCAAAAGAACCAAGAAGATGAATCCCTGCAGTCACGAAAGCTTTAAATCGAAATGATTTAGGTACTTTAAATGTTACCAGTTTTTCACCTTTTAAAAACGCTCTTCCTAGCTCATTGGACCTGAGCCCAAAATACATTTACCGACCAACGCGTTGAGGATTTGCAATTAATCCTTAACAAGGATCCAATGCCTAAGCATGGTCTCGGTAGCTACTGCTGGTCGTGTTTGTGCCCATTACAACCCACAGGCGCTCCAGCAGTCGTCGCTTCGATGGCCTCTCTCCTCCCACCGAACAGCTCTACCCAGACCAGCTCAAGCCTCACATAAATCGCACGCAACTTCTTTGTGGCCACCCCAGAGGTCGCAACCGGGTACCCGATACCCGTACCCTACCCGATACCCGGCTACCCGTACCCGGCCGGGTACGGGTACGGGTACCCGTTTGCGACCCTGGTGCGGGCCGGGTGCGGGTACGGGTAGACCGTGAGTCACTGGTGAGTAACTGTTTGTCACTCATTTCCCAACGTCTTGTCTCTTCTCACAATTCAAGTTCCTAGAATCAACCCACCCGCGCCTGCAACATGGCTTCATCCCAGAGGTCGCAATCGGGTACCAGATACCCGTACCCTACCCGTACCTGGCCGGGTACGGGTAGGGTACGGGTACGGCCGGGTACGGGTACCCGTTTGCGACCCTAGTGCGGCCGGGTACGGGTACGGGTAAGGAATCAAAACCCGTTTGCGACCTCTGGGCCACCCCCACCCTGAATCCCTCCGCTCTCTCCGCCGCCCCCCATGAAACCCAGATGCTGCTCCCTGCAGCAGCTTCTTCCTACATAGCCTCGTCTCCCCTGAGCCTTCGGTTCCGTTTCTCCATTCCCTGACTGGCACATGCATTACCAGAACTCAGAATTTCGGTTAGAGGTGAGGCTTTCCTGGGTAAAAACCAACGGAGCAAATAAACAAGGTACTTTAACCCGTAGTAGGCTTTCACAACCGATATCCATAATGGAGGGTTTTCTTTGGGCTAGGTCGTGTAAATATAAATGTGTCGTTAAACCCGCTACCACCCGACAAAGCCAATTGGTAAGGTTTGTCACGTAAACAAAACGTGCCAATTAGTTACTGTTTCAGCATACCGGCTGTGTGTTGTAGAATGAACCCACAACATTTACAACGCAGTACGACGTTTCGGCGGTAATCACAACAACCAGCCTCGTCAGGCGAGGTACTGCACGCACCTGTCGGTTGGTCATCACAGGAAGCTGTAACCATGGCGGGCGGGGATAATGACAAGGGCATCACTGACCTAACACCGCCCTCGCGACGGACATCCCCACCGGGCTGGTTGCCAGGCCTTGTATGAAGTATCCCGCGGCGGAGGACAAGAGGCACAGCACCAGGCAGCGGCGACGGCAGCCGGGCACGTCGCTCCATCTGCCCTGCACACAGTTACACGCACAGAGACAAAGATCCCTCACCCCCCCCCCCCCCCGTGTATCCTGAAACAGACCGCTAGGGCAAGTGCTGTTAGCGAGCACATATTGAGGACAAAATGGGACACGCGCGGGTGATCGGCAACGACCATGCCCGGCCGCCTTTGTCTCCCCAGTGGCAAGGTTTACACATTGTGCCAGGTATTCCTTTGAGGCTGAGTTGAGCTAGAGGAGGCCCATGGCTGGTTAAGATAATTTTAACTGGTTTTCCCGTGAGTGAGAATTTAACTCGGCTTGCTGGCTTCCGAGTGCATAGTGATAACCGCTGCTCCACCACTCTCCACACAAAGACATCGACTGAAAACGCATTTCTTGAGAACTGCTCTTTGTATTTAGATTGTTGTCCTTCCCCCGCACCTCCGATTATCACGGTTGGCTAATATTACATACATATATACACACACGCACACAGATCACTCAATGAACACCCTCCCCGCTGAGTCATACAGAGGCCCGGGGTTAAGTGATATTGGTAAACACATATTCAGGCCAACACGGCACATGGCAGGGTGATGTGGCTAGCACCACACCCACTCATGCGAGACCGAGGAGAGGTTCAGATACCACTTGCCAACTGATGTTCGTCGGGGCCAGAAATCAATCCCAAAGTTGTTAGCGGGGTGCCAGCACAATTGGGATTGCAGTCACAGCCACACATACAAAACACACGAGCTTGCAAAGTAAAGACATTGCTCACCACAATAGGGCTGGAGAAGAGCTGGAGGAATCCGTACACAGACCCTGAAAATGCACCACGTGCGACACGTACACACGACGAGCTGTCAGTGTTTTTGCGTCGGCAAAGGGGCAGCCATGCAATGTACTTGCTCGCACCTTTGCTGGCGGAAGGAGCACCACTAAAAGAAGGGTGCTCTGGAGCTCCCGTCGTAGTTAGTAATTTGGCCTACTCTTCCACGCTGGCCAGAGATCCTTGGAGGAGGTGGGAGAAAACACACTTTACCCCGCTACACGAGAACTGCCGGTCGACTCGCCGTGGCGAACCGTTTACACTGCAGGGTGCAACAGAGGTTCCTCCGGTTAGATTGAGTGAATATAAAAAACCTGTCACCACCCGACACAGTCAATTAGTAAAGTTCGTCATGGAAACATAACCTGCCAATTAGTTACTACGGCACAACCGTGTGTTGGAGAGCAAACCCACAACAGTAAAAGTTTTGTTTACGTGACAAACCTTACTCATTGGCTGTGTTTGGTGGTGGCAGGGTTTAACGACACATTTATATTTACATGATATAACCCAAAAACACATTTATGATGGATAATATTGGTCGTGAAAGCCTAGTACGTGTTAAACTGCACACAGGTGTTGGGGATGAGAGTAAGAAAAGCTTGCACCGTTGTTTGGACTGGCGACCTCTGGATCGCAAGACTGGTGTCAGCATCCCACAATTATTTTGTACGGTACTCATATTTGAATTCTAAGTGCCAATGTCGAGGTCTGCTAGCCAGGACGAGAGGGCTTCAGAATGAGATAATGTGGCTCTGCGCTACGCTGCGAGTAGGCTGCTGCAGGCCAGGGAGTTGCGATCTCTATATACGTACGTATGTATGTTGACCTTCTTTCACACTGTACGTAGCCAACCGTGCTAATCGGAGGTGCAATGTAGCCGCAGTGTAACCCATTTCTGAATAGCAGAGTGCTGCAGAGTGCAGTGTAGACCATTGAAGGGAAACGGAGCAGAACATAAAATTCAGCGTGGAAAGGACCAAATGCCCCCTGTTCGAACGAGCAATGGGGCAGCGTTGAGAGTCATCCTGAGCCAGTGGTGTCAATTCCAATTTGTCATGACAAGGTCAGCCCATAGAGGGATCATTGGCTGAGTCGACTCAAGTGCCCCCAGTCACGGTGCCACCTGGCCAGACAGTGCAGTGTAGTACAGCGTAGTGCAACGTGTTACACTGTGATGGAGTGTAGTGTGGGGGACTGTGCAGCTGTGTGCTGTAACTAGTGCAGTGTTGATAATTGTTTTTTTACCCTTTTATCTGGCAACAAAAGTGACACCTTTTTTACGAGGAGTCATGTTTGCATAGATCACAATACCTGCAGTCATAATGCAAACAAAAAACATAACTCTGATACATTATCAGAGTTATGTTGATACATTATCAGAGTTATGTCGTAAAAAAAGGTGTCAGTTTTGTTGCCAGATAAAAGGGTAAAAAAACAATTATCATATTTTTTACTGGCAAATGAGGTTCCAATGGTAGTGCAGTGTCCTTCATTGCAAGGTCCTCGTACCACTGGCGGCCCAATGGTAACCTTTAGTGCGGCCGCTGACGTGCGGCCCCCGACAATACACAACATATCATCATCGTGCTGTCATACTCCAATGGTTTCAAATGTGTGGCGGCCCTCGCACACTGATGATGTCTTATCGACGAAAGTGCCCCCCCCTGAAAATTAGTGAAGAACACTGCTCTAGCGTGATGCAGTGTGAGTTGGGGGTGCAGCAGAGGTCGCAAACGGGTCTTGATTCCTTACCCGTACCCGTACCCGGCCGCACCAGTGTCGCAAATGGGTACCCGTACCCGTACCCGGCCGGGTACGGGTACCCGTTCCCTACCCGTACCCTACCCGAAATGAGTGACAAACGGTTACTCACCAGTGACTCACGGCCTACCCGTACCCGGCCGCACCAGGGTCGCAAACGGCTACCCGCACCCGGTTGGATACCCGGTTGGGTACGGGTAGCCGGGTATCGGGTAGGGTACGGGTATCGGGTACCCGGTTGCGACCTCTGGGGTGCAGTGCGTTTAAGTGCAGTGCAGTGTGATGGATGGCGAGGTGCGGCGCAGTGATGACGCGGCGTGGCACGTGACACTGTACCCAATAGCCCTGCCACGAGGTGGGTGGCCCCCAGCTGCGTGGTGAGGTGGTGATGCAGCAACGGCACCACCAGACTCACGCCAAACAGATCCTGCAAGAACGGAGGAATTCGGTGAATGGGTCAATCCCTTCGGCATGAACAGAATAGGGTTTGTAATGTACGTCTGCAAATTTGCGCGCGTTACAAATTGAACTATTATTATTATTACTATGAAGTAGAGCTATTTGCCGATACGTCACCTATCAAACATTGTTTTTATTTTAAAGCCACAAACAGGGTTATTGACGAATGTGTCATTATTTTAACACCGTTACAAGATACCAATTCGGGGTATCGCTACTCAAACTAGCACCAGTCTCATTCTGTCCAGCTTATTTTTTTTTGTAATTTCATCGCAAGAAATTACATTGATTGGTAATTATACTCACTGCTAACCCTACCTCCTCCCTTTGTTGCTGCTAATCCTACATAATGCACGGGCATAATATGACCGAGACCCCCCCCCACCTCCTACGCATTCCACAAGTGACTAATCCCATATCTGCATTTTCCATAAATATGCTAAATTCCTCTGTTGATATGCAAATTCCTTTGTCAAGGCGCCCTTCCTCCCCTAACCCAGCTTAAATAAACGCTGCCAAGCTTGGTGGTGTTCATTCAGACGCTGTCTTTCCGACAGACCTGTTCTTCACCTGAGGACGGCTGCTTGCGTTGTGGCCGAAACGTCGTGAGAATTGTATTTTATTATGTTTCATTTTTATTATTTTATTATTTCCCTTCTACGTGACTTTACCGAAAGTACCAATAAGATTAATTATACTCACGATGCAATATTTAACAAAACGTACAATATCACGGATTTCATATCGTTGGCGTGATATATCGAGATCGCCGTGACGTCACACTTGCCACGCGTGACGTCACAACGCATCGGGTTGCCGTGACGACATCGCGCGTGGCAACCCTCGCATCCGGCACGCGTGACGTCACAACGCATCCGGCACGCGTGACGTCACCGCCACGTCACCACAACATTCCCCCCCCACCCCAACCACCAACCCCCTCTCGAGCCGCGGGAGCGTCTCACCAAGAACCCGATGCTGTTGATGAGCGCGAAGAGCGGCGGCGTTGCGTGTCCCGTGCGGCTCCCGGCCTCGCGGGGCCGCGGCCTCGGGTGGGCTGCCGACATCGCCCCGGTGGAGGGGGTCGGTGGGGGGGGGTTGGTCCAGAGGCCACAGCGCTCGCCGCCGCACCCTTCACCTCCGCGCCGCCTGGTGCCGGCGCGCGCTCATTGGCCACGCGAGGAGCACGTGGCCTCGTCACGGGGACTGTCAAATATCTGATAGTTCAGCATCGGGGTTATGTCCATAATAAAATAGGTTTGTATGGTGTAGATCGATCTAACCCCAGAATCGGTTTATCCATAATAGAGGTTTTACTGGTGGAGATCGATCTAACCCCAGTATCGGGTTTATCCACAATAGAGGTTTTTGATCGATCTAACCCAGCATCGGTTTATCCATAATAGAGGTTTTTATGGTGTAGATCGATCTAACCCCAGCATCGGTTTATCCATAATAGAGTTTTTTATGGTATAGATCGATCTAACCCAGCATCGGTTTATCCATAATATATGTTTTACTGGTGTAGATCGATCTAACCCCAGCATCGGTTTATCCATAATAGAGGTTTTTATGGTGTAGATCGATCTAACCCCAGCATCGGTTTATCCATAATAGAGGTTTTTATGGTGTAGATCGATCTAACCCAGCATCGGTTTATCCATAATATATGTTTTACTGGTGTAGATCGATCTAACCCCAGCATCGGTTTATCCATAATAGAGGATTTTATGGTGTAGATCGATCTAACCCCAGCATCGGTTTATCCATAATAGAGGTTTTTATGGTGTAGATCGATCTAACCCCAGCATCGGTTTATCCATAATATAGGTTTTTATGGTGTAGATCGATCTAACCCCAGCATCGGTTTATCCATAATAGAGGTTTTTTATGGTGTAGATCGATCTAACCCAGCATCGGTGTATCCATAATAGAGGTTTTTTTTATGGTGTAGATCGATCTAACCCAGCATCGGTTTATCCATAATATAGGGTTTTGATCGATCTAACCCAGCATCGGTTTATCCATAATAGAGGTTTTTTATGGTGTAGATCGATCTAACCCCAGCATCGGTTTATCCATAATAGAGGTTTTTATGGTGTAGATCGATCTAACCCCAGCATCGGGTTTATCCATAATAGAGGTTTTTGATCGATCTAACCCAGCATCGGTTTATCCATAATAGAGGTTTTTTATGGTGTAGATCGATCTAACCCCAGCATCGGTTTATCCATAATATAGGTTTTTTATGGTGTAGATCGATCTAACCCAGCATCGGGTTTATCCATAATAGAGGTTTTTATGGTGTAGATCGATCTAACCCCAGCATCGGTTTATCCATAATAGAGGTTTTTATGGTGTAGATCGATCTAACCCAGCATCGAATTTATCTGTAAAAGAGGTTTTTATGGTGTAGATCGATATAAACCAGCATCGGTTTATACATAAGAGGTTTTTTATGGTTTAGATCAATCTTAACCCAGCATCGGTTTATCCATAAGAGGTTTTTGATCTATATAACCCAGCATCGGTTTATCCATAAGAGGTTTTTATGGTTTAGATTATATCCACAATAGAGGTTTTTATGGTTTAGATTTCATGGTTTAGATTCTAAACCATAAAAAAACCTCTTGTGGATAAACTGATTCTGGGTAGATCAATCTGACCCAGCATCGGGTTTATCCATAATAGAGGTGTTTATGGTGTTTATCGATATAAACCAGCATTGGTTTATACATAACAGAGGTTGTTATGGTGTAGATCGATCTAAACCACCATCGGTTTGTCCATAAGAGGTTTTTATGGGTTAGATCGATCTAACAGCATCGATTTATACATAATATAGGTTTCTATGGGCTAGATCGATCTAATCCAGCATCGGTGTATCCATAAGAGGTTTTTATGGGTTAAGAGGTTTTTATGGGTAAGATCGATCTAACCCATGAACACCTGTTATGGATAAACCAATACTGAACTGGTTTATCACGATCTAACCCAAAAAAACCCTATTATAGACAATATTGGTCGTGAAAGCCTACGTGTTAAGAATTGGTTTAGTTTAACACGCTTGCCTTTTGCAACCAATATCCATCATGAATGTGTTTTGATATATATCTAACCCAAAATTAAATATCTAGCAGTTCAGCATTGGTTTATCCATAATAGAGGTGTTTATGGGTTAGATCACATAAAATATAAATGGACATTGACATCTCCCCATCTGGTCTTCGCAGTGGTGGCATCACATTTGCTCTATTTAAGACCGAAACAGGAGGACTTCTTCATGATTCTGGTTAATCACTTGGTGAAGCTGGTTATTGTTGTAATCGCCAGCGAAACGTCGAGCTCGAATTCTAAATTTTTGTGGGTTTACTCTCCAATATGCTGAAGTAGTAACTAATTGGCACGTTTTGTTTACGTGACAAACTTATTAATTGGCTGTGTCGGGTGGTGGCAGGTTTAACGACACATTTAGAGTTACGCGATCTAACCGTTTTTTTTAGTATGGATAGCATTGGTTCGATCAAGGCTCACTGCTGATTCATGGAATATCGAAACCGGTTCAGAGTTTTGCTTATGTTCAGTCAATTGTTCCAGCAAGGGCGAGTACTGATGATACACTGTTTGGCAAAAAACCCTCCAGTTTGCTTGTGTTGACCCCAATACAAGCGTGCCCAAATCTCCTGGTGAGACACTGAATGCCGAAATCAGTTCACTGAATAAATACTGATGACATTATGCACTCTCACAAGGCCTCGTGGTTGGTCCCTGGGAAGTGTACAAAACACATGTTGTTTTTTACGTGGAGAGAGATATGGAAAGGAGATGTATCGTCTGCTGCTATGGTTAAAAACGTACAATCGGCGACGTTTCAGACAAAGAAGCTTCACAGCACATAAACGTGAGCGCCCGTGGTGACAAGATGTTAACTCCCACGTCTGGTATACAGGAGATCGTGGGTTCGATCCCGACCCTGATGCCTGTATATTTGGAGTTTGTGTATCTCTCTCCCCGTGGACGGGTGAAATTTTTTCCGGGTTTTCCCACCACATTTAGAATCAACTTCACGCGTTTAGAGTATTTGGCTGCTATATATTTGTGGCCAGGTCGCTTCTGCAAAAGAGCTATATAACTCAGTGGGCCTTGCCTGATAAAATAAAAAAAAATTGTTTAGCAGTTTTTTTTTTAGTTTACGCTTCAAACTGATGGTGCTTTTTACCCAGATGTGTTTTTCAAATGTACGATATGTACATAACTTAATGTTGGTCACAGCACATGACATCTGTGAAAAAGAGCTTCTTAGCTCGTCGGATTTTTCCAGGATAAAAAAAAATCTGATTCTGCCTTGAGTAATGTTCATTATTCACGATCAGTAAAGAAGGGGACGTTCTGGCTGGAAGAAACCAGGAGACTTTTGGCATTGATGATAAGCTATATTCGATTTTATGTTCAAAATAATTAATCAGGTGACGTTTCGGGCAATGACCCTTCAAAGCGCATAGATATGCTGTCACCCATCCTAGAAACACCGCATTCGAGATCCAAAATCACATCGCCTCCTGGCTTTGACATTCCCACTCCTCGATTCTGATTCTGAACCGCATCAGAACATCAACAGGCCAATCTACTTCGTGAATGTAAAATTAAAACAGACCACTGCAGTGCGATTGTGTCCATGCAACCCAAACGATGTACCAGATCGTAAACCACTATAGTCTGCCCTCCTTCAAGTAGAGGAATAGCAAAACTATACAAACTCTCCTGAAGACCTCTCGTCGTGGCTAGAGACCCCGTCCACATTAGCAGTTCCTGGACGGACAGAATTGCACTTATTCTTAGGTTTTTTCGGTAAAGTCACGTAGGTAAAAAGATTAAATTAATAAAAGTTAAATTAAATAAAAATAAAAAATCACGACGTTTCGGAGGCAACACAAGCTTCCGTCTTCAGGTGGAACCGTCACAGCCACGACAGCTGTATCAAGAATTGCACTTACACGTAAAGCCATCATCTTTCGTATGGCCGATGTAGGTGCAGAGCAACAACTACAATTTCACATTCAGGTGGTCAAGCCAGATAACCGCATCAGGAGCAGCGGAGTTGTATTGCTGCGATGTCTCCGTTTTGTGGATCGAGCATTGCGTCTTTGTGTGTTGTACGATCTGTCCAGTCGCACACTGGAGAGTTTTTAACTTTCCATTTGTGCATCAGGAATCCGCATCTGCCATGGTTTGTGCGGATGCAGTTTAGGGTGGACCATGAGCTTCGTGGATGATCAAACCCAGGGATCTTCTGCGTTGGGTCTTTCACAAGTTGTTTGCGAGTTATTTTGAACTCTATTCAGCGCTCCAAGTGTAATCGGGGTTGAATTCGCATTCTATTCTGCTCGAGGGAAGAATACAATAACAAAACATAGATTATGCATTATGCACCCCACCACAGGGCTGCAGCGTTGCCTGACAAATCCATGAGGTGGGGGGGGTTAAGGTCGCTCATTTGCATATTTGTAGTTTATAAAGTAATACCCCTGTCTCATCTGTGTGTTGATATCGGATGTTTAGGAGGTATACGTTCAGATGTTAATATCATGAGTTTTGTATTTGCACGGCACAAAATATTACATCTGTGCCCAACACGAAACGTGCAAGAGGTGGGGCGCCGTAGGAAAGCCGAGGAATCAAAATGGGAATTTTGCACAGGTGAGAGTTGCAATTATTTTCTTGAGCAATGTGTTCGGGAGCTAGATGCCAGGTCTGCTGGCCATAACGAGACGGCTTCAGGAGGAAGTATGTGTAGTTTTGCTGTTCTTTCTTCGTAGAAGGATCGACACCACAGTTGTTTACTTTGTATGGTCCATAGTTTGGGTTGCATTGCCAAAATTGCACAACTATGACTTGTTCTTTGGGGCGGTCCATAAATTACGTCATGCGATTTTGGACGAGTTTTTACCCCCCCCCCCCCTTTTCACGGCGTCACAAAAAGTCAGACCCCCCCTCAAGTTACAAAGCTCTGCCCCCCCCCAAATAAAACATGCTTCATATCACTTTACACTATTGTCATTGTGCGTATTTAATGTGCCACTGCACTCTGATGTTGTAGGAGAAAACGTTTATCAAAAAGTCTATTTAATTAAGTAGAA